TACCAACCTGTAAGAAGAAAATGTTAAATAAAGACGTTTAATGAGATGGAAGAACAAAACTGTAATGGAAAAATGTTATATAAAAAAATAAATGAAATCAAAATACAAAACGGTAAATCAAGTAGAAATTTAAAGAAGCAAAAGTATAATGCAGTAATGTCCGCTGTAGGTGGGAAATGGAAATCGAACCTAGAATCACAAGGTTATTAAAAACCGTTAGGCTAAAGTTAAATAACTGATTACTTATTTTCACTCTCGATGATTTTATACTAACATTTTTTTCAATACGTAAAATACCCTACCATTTATACGTTACTTTCGAAATTCTCGGCCCCTGGATACAAATTCATATCGACCCTCTTGCTAGTTCCAGCCCACGACCCGTCGCCACTAACACTAACCCTATCCCATTTCCCCTCTTTCTCCCTGCTCTCTGGCACGCCGCCGCTCCTTCACACGAAAAAGTTAAACTGCTAACAATGCTTTTTGTTAGCAGATACTGATAGGGTTGGATGGAGGCCCACGTGGAGGTAACTCAGATCCAAGGGATGCAAATAGAAGGCTCATTTAAGTGATTTCTTGTGGCTTTTTAGCCCAGCCAAGTAAAGGGGGGAGCCGATGGGTTTGGCTTGGTAGAAGCCAATGTTTTGGGCGGGAGAAAGGGAAAAAAGGGGGTCCGGCGGATGATTAAAATGGAGAAAGAAACTGATAAAGTGGCCTATGCGGGTCCACCAAGAAAAAAGTAGGAAAAAAGAAAATTAATTGGAGAGAGAAGAGAAGTGACAGAAAAAATATAAAGAAAAGTGAGAAATAATTGGAGAGAGGAGGGAAGTGACAGAAAATGAAAAGAAAAAATGGAAAAAGTAATTGCAAGGAAGAGAGAAGTGACGAAAAAGTTGGGGGGGGGGGGTGAAGAGAGTGATTGGGAGAATTTATTTTTGGACCACTTCTTTTCTCTCTCAACCTCTCTTATTCTTTTTCGTGTGGATATTTATCCATGGACTGAAGGATTTCAAGTTTATGTGGTCAGATATTAGTCTGGGCGGTATGGATATTTATTTTTGCATGAACTGATTTTATATGCAGTGGATATTAGTTTGTAAAGTAATAAGTATTGTGTCTTCCATCAAAATTAAACACACTATCAAGTCCTAACACATAAGGCTTGCAACCTTAGTTAGGGCTGCCCGCCGAGGGCCCATGGGCCGAAGGCCTATGAAACAATAATAGTAGGAGAGTGAGGGTTTAGGGTTTATGATTTAGTGATTAGTCTTGTAGTCGGATATTAAACTTGGTGGTGTTTGTATTTGTTTTTGCAAAGAATGCGTATTAGTTTAGGTGGTTCGGATATTAGCTTTGGTTGAATTGATATTAGTTCATATTTTCAACTATTTGTCTCGGATGTTTGGATATTTGTGTTCTCATTAACTGATATTAGTCTGTTGATATTAGTTCATTAGCCAATTTAATTACTTTTGGTATTAGTTTGCGATTGTTAGATATTAGTCTATGTGTGGTGGGTATTAGTCTGCGATGTTCAGATATTAGTCTATGTGTTGTGGGTATTATGCTGTATGGTGAGGATATTATTTACGATCTGAACGTATATTAGTCTTAGGCGATGAGATATTAGTCCGGGTGTTGTGGATATTTGTTATGGTGAACGTATATTATTCTGGGTGGTTTGGATTTGTTTTGTGTGGATGTTTATCTATGTTTATTTTGAAATTTAGTTTAATTAGCGATTAAGGTTTAGTGTTTATGTGTAATTGGTATTAGTTTTAGGGTTTAGAATTAGGGTTTACATTTTAGAGTTTGGAGTTTAGGGTTTAGGATTCGCATTTGGGGTTTAGGGTTCAGGGTTTGGGGTTGATATATCTTTTGGACTTAGTCTGAGCTTTAAGGATATTATTCTACATAAAGACGGATATTTTTCTGGGAGGTACGATATATTTTTGAATAAGAACTTATGTTGGTAATTATATCCAACATTTGACAAAATATTATCCATCATGCTACAAACTAACATCCTTCCCTAAATATTATCTAACCCTAAGTTCAGTTTTACAAACCAATATCACACTACACAAATATAAAATCAACTTTTCTTCCTTTTCCCTCATCGTCTTGGTCATCACTTTCTTCATCCTCAATTTCTTGGTCCTCATTTTGTTGTTGTTGTTTGGCACATTTAGGCCTAAAGGTTTCGCCTTCTGATGTGGTCCTCATTGCAGTTGATTTAGTTCTTGTCATTGTGATTACCCTGCCTAGTAGAATATCCTGACATTAACTAACCAATATTTGGACTTCACATAACGAATACCCCAACAATCAGAAGTAATATCAAACAAGTCATATCCAAATATATCAAACAACTATCCAGGCAATTCACAAATGATATCATGGTCGACCAAAACCAATATCAATGTAGGAATATCCAGATATATCAAACAACTATCCAAGCAATTAAAAACTGATATCCTGCCCGAACAGAACTAATATCGGAAAACACACAAAATATATCCACAAAACTCAGAAAACAAAGCAACTCAGATCCAATCAAATCCGCAAAATCCACAAACAAAGCAACCCAGACCCAGATCTAGTCACATCCACAAACCCAGAAAACATATCCACATAATCAACAAAGAAAGCAACCCAGATCTAGTCAAATCTAAGTTACCAGAAAACAAATCCATCAAACGCATACAAAAAAACGTAGGAAAAGAAAAACCCAGATCTAGTCGAATCCATTAAACCCTAACTTCAAACACTACTTATTTATTTGAAACACAAAATCAGAATCCAAGAAACAAAATCAAAAGAAAAATGGAACCCTAAAAATCGAATCCCCTCGTGATATTCCAATGAGGACGGTGTGGATCTGCAAATATGCCATATCTCCCTCGCCTTCGAAGCTTCTTCCCTTTTCTCCTAAATGAAAATAGAACAATCGCTTTCTGAAATCGATTGAATCACAATAAGCAAGGTGAAGAATGAAATAGAGAGAGAGAGAGAGAGAGAGAGAGAGAGAGAGGAAAAAGCACAGTTACCGTCGTCTTCTTCCTTCAAGCACGACTACCGTCGCCGACAACTTCTTCCTTGTCGCGATACCGTCGTCGTCGTCATTCTCACAGTCACTGTCGCTTGCTTCGTTAGAGTCGGAGAGGGTTTCTGGTGATTATTGGGAGAAAAAGGGAGGAGCAAACATAAAAGTTTTTGAGGAGAGAGAAAGGAAACTAACGAAGTGATTTGAAGAGAGAATGAGACTAAGAAAAGGCATTGATTTTTTTGAATTTGTGGGCCCCTTTGGATAGTGGAATTGGGGCAGCCGATGGACTCAGCTCTCTTCCTCTCACAAGTCGGCGCCAATCCTCCTCCACCATCCGATCCGGCTCGGCGACGTGGCCATCTATCCTGCCGTGTCAGTATCTCCTAACAAAATGGTATGTTAGGAGCATAACTAGATTGTCCTTCACAGCCTAATCCAGTTGAACTTCCCGATCCTCCGAACAGTTCGCTTTCCCCCACCATCAGGATGATGACGATGACCTCCAACTCCCAATCGAAACCTTAGCCCTCGTCGTCGGCTTCACCATCTTATTCCTCGTCTTCACAATCCTCGCAATCGGCTCCGTCAGTCACAACGTCTTCTATGGATTCTACGGCTGACCCATCAAGCTCGTCTCCGCCATCAAATCCTGGTTCATCCTTCTTCCGTCGCTTTGTCACCCACATCATTGTCAAGATCTTGCTCTCCCTAGTGGCGCTTCTATTCCTCAGCTCACATCGATGGTGTCACTGGCCGCCGCATCTCGTCCGCCGAACTCATTTCACGACAACGGATTGAAACAGGGAAAACACAATCGAAACCCAGATTTGAAAACCATACCCTCTTCTTTTGCAAATCCAATCTCCCCCGTCCCGCACCGAAAATCTCATCTTCTTTATTTCTGCCCATGGCTCCTTCCCCTCAAATCCCTCTCTCCCGATCCTCCTCCGTTGACTCCGCGTCTCGGCCGCCATGCACCACCACCACTACCCTCACTCTGTCTCTCCTTTGAAGATGAATATGGTCTGTTATTGACTAATTAGGGCATACAGTTACTGATAATGAGATTTCAATTAGATGAATAGGATAATGATAGGTGAATTTGGAGGATTGGGTTTCGAGGGGACTAACGGTGGAAGGGACAACGAAGATTGTGAAGAGGAGGAGGGCGGCGGATGGGAGGAACAGAGAGGACGCTATTTTAAAGGAGTTGTGGGGATTGGATTTTTTGGGTTGGAGTTAAATACAGAGGTTTGTAAGAAGGAAGAAGAAGTGGAGAGTGATCGGGTGAGAAGGAAGAATAAGAGAGCCATTTTATAATTAAGGGGTCGTTTGGAAGTTGTGATTTCAAATGGTGTATTGACCTAATTCATGTATTTGTGAGATTAAGTCGTTTTTTTGACTTATATAGAACTAGAATACATGCATTTACTTTTTGGAGGCCCCACCACAATCACTCAATATTGAGGGATTTACAATCTCTACTTTTTGTTGAGATTCTTCACAATCACTCAAAACTAACTTTTTACCTTTAGAACAAAACCACAATCTAAACCTCCAACAAGATATTTGCCTAATACATCAATTGATTCAATACATCAAATGATAATACAATAATTGTCACAATACATCAATTTGAAGAATCACAACTTCCAAACAAGCCCTAATTTTATTGTTAATGAGTTTTTTTTAAGCTAGCCGGTTCAATTCATGTGTTTGGGTAAGAAGATTGGGTCATTTAATGTGCTGGCAGGGTGATTTTATTTTAGGCTTAATACATCTCCATAGCCATAATTATCCACTTTGTGACAAATATAGCCAAATTTTGAGAAATACACAGATATAGCCATTCCGTCCAAAAGTTTAACAGCAACGTTACTGATCTGACTGGACTGATACTGTTTGATGATGTGGCACTTTTTTTTGTCAAACCCAATGACAGATGGAATTAGAACTTTTAATATTATTATAATTAATGGAAAAAACAAAAAAACAACATGGAAAGTTGTCTTTTCCTCTTCCATTGCTCGTCATCTCCGACTTCCTTTCCTTTCCGTCTTCAATTTCCTTCTCCTAAGTAGAGGCGTCGAAGAGAGCAAGAATGAGTGGATGGAGCAGAGCAATTGAAGAAGAACAACCTTGCTTCCTTGCTCCCCAATAGAGGTTGAAGAAGAATCACTGCCAACGATTGGGTTTCTTTCGCATAGGTAGCAGCGACCAGCGGGATCGAAACTTCCTGGGCTCCGTCGCTACCGATTTCAAATCCCGGCCATGGGGAGAACGACCTGAGTTCGTCAATTGAATTTCCTTCGTCTTTAGCCGCCGTTACGACTAGGTAGTGGGAGGTGGAGAGAGGAAGAAGAGTACGAGAGGGAGAAGGGAGAAATAGTGAGGTTTCTAGGTCGGAATCAAATTTCTATGGAATGGATTCTTGTGGGTTTTATGGCTTTGGTATGGCGAGGCGAGAAAGAGGAAGAACTCTAAGCTCTGAATCGAAATCAATTTTGGGAACCACCATTGAAGCAGGTAGAGTTCTGAGCTCTAGTGTTACGAGATCTGGAAAGTTGTAATAGCCCGAGGAGACAAAGCATCTCCCGACGAAGCCATCTCAAACCCAGTCCCTTCTGTCTCGATTTCTTTAATTACGAAGCCTATTTCTTCCTCAGTTTATCGTTGTCTGTTGTGTCGGGGAAGATGCGCGATCCGGCGTGAGGAGTTGGCCGCGGAGACCCATTCGCGCAGGGACCAGCATCTGGTGTTGGTGGTGTTTGTTTATCCGATTTCATGAAAAAGAGGGGAGAATCGAGATTCAAAGTCATGAGAAGGGCTCTATGGGCCGATGATTCACCGCGTTGTTCCGGTGGGTCGCGATGGCCTGCTAGTAACGAAGAGGGCGGCATCGACACCACCGATGAGCAGCAGCACATCGTCAAGCAGCGGCGGCAAGCAACTGAAGACAAGTATAATTGGATTTTTGTTTCATAATTAATAAAAAACTATTAATTATGTTTTATAAATAATCTCTAAAATCAATAAAAATTTAATCTGACATGGCAATTGAGAGTTGATGTGGATGGTGAGGTGGCATCCATCTCAACATGTTGTTGATGACATGTCAATTAGGGAGAGTCCATGTCAGCGCCACGTCCACACTACTGACGGCATCTTTAACGCCGTCAAAATTTGTAACGAAAATGGCTAAATTTGACAATAAAGTTTTAAAAACATGGCTATATTTGTGTATTTTTCAAAATTTGGCTATTATTGTCACAAAGTGCATGTTTTTGGCTATACAAGTGTATTTTGCCTTTATTTTATTTTATAAAAGTTAGATGACTCAGCATTTTTGTTAGCCACGTCAGCAAAAAATTGACGCCGCTAACGGAGACTGGCGGAAGGTAACGGAGAGTGACTAAAGTTGAAACGTTTAACTAATGTTAGGGATCGCGAATGGAACTAAATATTTCGAGTGATCAAACATAGGAGTGGTAAACGGTATTGCGGTAAACGGTTTAATCAATAACCGTACCGGTAACCGTGATTATCGGTTAAATCGTTAACCGTTCCAAACGGTATTCGGCAACAGGAATTTGGCTGGCGGTATACCGAGAAAGGTATGGTAAAACACCGTCGGCATTTCGGTATTCCGATACCGAAAGGAAAAAGCCATCAACCAAACGCCGACCGCCCTGTAATTAACCTAGTGTCCTAGTCCTAGTGGTAATTAGTAATTAGAAAACTAAAGTACATCGTTTTTTGCATATCTCTCTCCCCTGCCTGCTGCCCCTGCCCTGCTGCAGGAGCTCGACGAGTCACGCTCACGCCGCCGATCGAAACTGATGGTATCTTCGTCGTCTCCCCGTCGTCAGCACAAGCTCCATCCAGCCCCGTCAAGCCCTGTTCCTAGTCGAACCCCGTCGTCGTCCCGTCGGAGCTTAATCCTTCGACTCTACAGCACATCATACAACAGTTCGTCTTCGTCCTAAGTCTCACAGGTATAGCTGCCGAGCATGATTCTTTCATAATCGTTTCATACTTTAATTCTTTCATAATCAATTAATCATAATTCATGTACAGTTGCCGAGTTCTTTGTGTTATTGTTTGTTTTTTTGACTATTTGTCTTTGTCGAACGTAGCCCGTAGCTGAGCAAAGTGCAAAGAAGCACAATGAATTCCATCTACTGGAATGAATGAATGAACAAGAATAATGATGCCTTCCACTTATTTTTATTTCCATCCACAGATCCACTAGCAGACAAGAGGAACATGAATAATGATGGCCTTCCATTTGAATTGAGAGACTCGCGTCTGGCGCTAATTAAATTCCGCCCGCAGCAAGCCAGCAATTATCCCTGCCGGATGTCGGGAAACCGGGCCCATTACCGAAACCGTTGCACTCGGTAATCGGCATACCGATTTATATCGGTATCGGCTAACGACAGTTATTTGGGGAATTCCGGTATACCGAAAACCGGTCAAACGGTAAACGGTTAAACCGGTTACCGACCGTCTAGCACCCCTAATCAAACATGAACATTTTTTGTAATCACAGTGATCAACCATGCAATTAACCCTTTTTTTAGTATTCAACAAGCTATATGACTTTTTGCAGGAAAGTTCACTTTTGCCCTTGTTTTTATTAGAATATATAGATATAAGTAGGGTATAATTGGAACAAAAAAGGAACCCAACAATCTTCTCAAAACTATCTCAACAATCTCAAGTTTTAGTAGAGATAATACCATCACTCATTTTGAGTGATAGTTTCCATCACATCAAGCAAACAATGCATGTATTGTTTGTGCATAAATTTCAAAAAAACAATGCATTGAGGACAATACATGCATTGTAACTATCCCAACCAAACGATCACCAAAATCAAACGACCCCGTAAAATTTGAGATTGTTGAGATAGTTTAGTCGAGATTGTTTGATTCTTTTTTATTATAATTATATCCCTAGCTATTTATCTATATTCTCATATATCCTTGAGATTTTATTATATAATCCGCTTTTTTTCTTCTTAGGGAACACCCATGCTCCTTCTCTTCACTTTTTTCATGGATGTCTCTACCACCCGCTCAATTTAACACCTTCTCCCTTCAAATTTTCATAGTCGGTCTAGCCTCTTCAGTCTCGTCTTCGGTTTTACATATGCAATTAGTGTTTGTATTCTCAAGTAGAATACACGTGTCTATCTTCATTGGTTAAAGAGGGGTAGCATTACTACAAACCAATGTTGGTCTGTAACCCATAAAAACAAGGGTAAAAATGATATTTTATACAAAAGAAATACAACTTTTTGAATGCAAAAACAACTATTACTAAAACCAAACAAGATAAACTACATTGCATCATTTTTCTTAATTATATATAATAAACTACATTGCATCATTTTTCTTAATTATATGTATATAACAATGTATTTATTCATTTCATTGATCACAATACATTAATTTAAATATCACCAAAATTAAACTATGAAAACTTAAGCAATTGGAAATTGCAGAAAGGAAAGACTTTAAAATGGAAGGAAAAAGGGACAATAAAAAAGGAATACGGAGAGTCCAGCGGGTGGGGAGGGAGCGAAAAGCCGAAAACGTGGATTGGGCATGGCGGCGGCAGTAGCAGTAGTAGCATAAGCAGCAAGAGCAAGAAGCTGTCCAACTCCAAGTCCATAGTTAATGAGCAAGCAGAAAGTCGTTGTTCGTCGTCGGGATAAATGTCCCCTTGAGCGAAAAATCTTATCTGGAAAGGGAATCCGCCACGATTCCTTTCCCGTCCCTCCAGGTACCTATCCATTCTATCTTATCTGTCTACTTCTCCTTTCCCCAATGCTGTTCTTTCGTCTCCGTCCCTGTTACGCTCTACCGGGGAATTATGGTTGTGGCGGATGATTGATACCGTAGATCTCGTGGCAGGGAGGGCGGCATTTTTTGTTGTTGTTCTTCTTGGGTTCCACTACTGAAAAGAAAGGCTCCGCCTTTACTGGTTTAGGGTTCGTTCTGTTTTGCTGTGTTAATTTCGGCGGAAAGGAGGAGAAATGGCTGCTCCTTACGCCATTCCAGTCACCGCGGCTCAGGTTTTGTTACCACTTCTTTATATCTCCCGCCACTTTTCTCTGTTTCAGGGTTTCTTTTTTCTTGTTCTGATAGGGCTGGCTGTTTTTTCTGGATTGATTGAGTTAGGTAGGGACGTATTTTGTGGGGCAATACTATGAAGTGCTACAGTCTCACCCGGCACTTATCCATCAGTTCTACAGTGATTCCAGCAGCATGCTTCGTGTTGATGGCGTTACCCGAGAATCCGGCTCCACAATGCTTGTAACTTTTCCATCGTTTCCCCCTTTTCTTGGGCTGTTAATCACCTAACTATTAGTAGGTCTAGTGCTTTTTTAGTAAGAACTGCTTGACTGCTTCCATTTTGGTATTCGGTAGTGGAGTATAGCATGGGTTGAGATGGGCTGAGAGTGGAAGTGGGTTGCCCTTTTTTGCAGACTATCTATAGTAAACCTATCATGAAATGCCCCACGGTTTGGTATTAGATTCTTTCGCTCAGTTTGTAACAGGCTCTCTACGTTTGCAGGATATTCATTCACTCATTATGCGACTTAATTACACTGCTATCGAAATCAAGACAGCACACGCGTTGGAATCTTGGAGTGGCGGGGTTCTCGTGATGGTCTCTGGACTACTGCAGTCAAAGAACTTTGGGGGCACTAGGAAGTTTGTGGAGACGTTTTTCTTGGCGCCCCAGGAGAAAGGCTATTTCGTTCTCAATGATGTGTTCCACTTCATTGAAGAGGAACCGATTCACCTCTATCCGGCTGTATTAGCAGCCCAAAGGAATCTCGATTCCAAAGTTAATAATGCTTCTCCACCTACCGTCGTTCCTGAGCCAGGTGCGTTGACTAATCCATTGATCGAGAGGGACTATCAATTGGGAACTGCTGTTAATGTTCTCCACCTAGATCTGTTGGCCATCAGTTATGTTTTGATAACTGGCAATTGCAATTTGTATATGCTGAGACTCGTTATGCAATCTTTAATGCTGGAAGTGACCTTTTGCAGTTTCAAAGTATTTGCTTGGCGAAGAGATTCAGTCTAGGGAGTCGGTATCTCCTAGTGACGAGGCACAGGGAAACGGCCAAGTTGACAACTATGCCTTTCCACAACAACAGTTCCAGCATGTTCCAGAGCCCGAACACATTGCAGAGCAAGTGGAAGTATCAAATGGCTCACTTCAGAACGCAGCGACGGATGCTGCTACTCAAGACCACCTTCCACCTACTCTAGAGGAACCTGCTGAAGAACCACAAAAGCACACTTACGCCTCAATTGTATGTCAAAACTCGCACTCCCTGTGGTTGTTTTTAATGGATAGTTTTTCTGACGTGCCATGTATGTTATCAGACTTTGTGTTGCTGATAATCTGTTTCTTTTCTACTGGCAGTTACGGATTGCTAAGGGGCAACCACCAGCCTCTTCAGAAAGGAATCACAGCTCTCCAGCCACTGATCAGAAGGCTACTGTGACAGCTACCCTGACATCCAATTCGTTTGACAATTATGGGGTTGACAATGTTGATGAAGCTCAGGGCATAGAAGATGAAGGTTAGTTTAGCATCTTTTTCATGTTCCTCACCAAATACAGAGCATGGAAAGTTCTTACATGAATGTGATATTATTGGTACTGATCTAGTGGATGAGTGTGGGTCTAATTTTGTTACTCTGTCTGCTTGCCTAATTAACAGATGAAATTCGATCTGTATACGTGAGGAACTTGCCACCTATTGCCTCTGAAGAAGAGATCGAGGAGGAATTCACAAAGTTCGGCAAGATTGCACCTGAAGGTGTTGTCATTAGGAGTCGCAAGGTCCTGCCCTGCTTCTGTAGTCTTGTTACATTACCGTAAATATGTTGTCTTGTTCAGATCGTTCCTTGTTCACACTTAAACTTTTGGTCTTCCTTCAATGTATTAATACTTAAAAATGCTGTCTCTGGTGCAGGATGTTGGTGTTTGTTATGCATTTGTTGAATTCGAGGACATGAGTGGAGTTCATAAGGCAGTGAAGGTCAGTCTTTACAAAATCAAGAATCTTCTTCCCTTTAGTTGGTTTTGTATTCAATCAAATGTTGTTTCTTTGTTCTTCTCCAGGCGGGCTGTGCAGAGGTAGCAGGACGACAGGTTTACATTGAAGAAAGGAGACCAAACAGTAACATCCCCCCTCGATTCGGAAGTATGTATTCTGATTGCTACTTATCTAGTCTGTCTTGTGATGGCTGCTATATACTTGATTAGGACTTGGTGACTGCCTCTTGTTCTGCTTCATCCCTTGTTGTTCATATGCTGGTTTCTGTTTCACTTGATGTAATAATATAGAAGTTGCGGCTTCTTGTTACAAATTTTTCAAGCAGGAGGCAGAGGGCGTGGAAGCTACCAAGCAGATGCCCCTCGTGGCCGTTTTGGTTCACGAGGTTTTGGCAGGGGAGGCGGCAGCTACGGTGGAGACTACTACAACAGACCAACAAGAGGAAACGGATATTACAGGCCAATTCAGCGCCAAGACAGAGCACAAAATGAATCATCATCAGATTATACAGCTTAGTCCCTGGAGCTGAGGAGCAGCAGCCATGGGGAGGAGACCATTTTTGGGGGCCAAGCCCTGAGCAGCAAACATTAATGCAATCACCTCTCGTTCCAATAGCGATATATTCATAGTATGTTTTTACTCAATTCATATCTTCATTCAGATTGCAGCAGCAGCAGCAGCAGCAGCATACTTGATTAGGAAAGTGAGGTTCCATGATGTTTACTTCGTTTGTTTGTTCTGAACTGATACTTCAGATCCAATAGGCAATCCAATTCAGATTTTAGTACATTTGTGTTGCCTTAAACTTTAATGAACAACTCCTTGCAGATAGATTGCTCACACCCTTACATTGGTTCTTCCGCCTCTTCTTATTCAGCAAGCATTTTATGTGGGGCTATTCAAGTTCAGGCATCATTTCCTGCAGTAGAAAGCAGTAAGAATCGGAGTTGGTCATTTTTTTGGGAATGTTGAGTGCGTCAAAATACTCAGGTGGGTTGAACTCTACTGCTATTCGATTCAACACGTAATGACTCTGGGTTTGGCTGTCTTGTGCTAATCTCATCAAGCTCGGGAGAACTGGACATGGGAACAGGAGAAAAAAAAAAAAAAAAGGAAAGAAATCTGAACATTCACTATGAAGATGATAAAGCATAAGCTTTTCTTATTTTCAGCTGAAAACAAGCACATTGACAACATTTATTAAGACTGCTCTAACATTAGCAGCAAGTGATAGCATGTAGATTGGTCTCCGCGTTTCTCTTTTCTGGACTCCTAATTGAGAGCCCCCTCTTCTTGTCACAGTAAGCTCAATATTCTTCAGTTAGCTGCAGCAACGATAGCACCCTCCAGTTGAGCAGACTCGGGAAGCTGACCACCTGGCTCTGTTACTAATTCATCTTCTTCCGACTCCCAGAGGAAACTAGCATATGCTGCCAGAACATGGCTGCAAATGGGCACACAAAATAACATTTGTCCATGGCCATACCTCCATTTGAAGCAAAACACACAGAAAGAACAAAACAAGCTTCAGGAGTAAAGAGGGAAGGGGATTATTTGTTGGCGTTACCTATCTGAAGGAGCAGCTTGAACTGCTCTCTCAAAGTATGACGACGCCTTTTGCTGGTCCCGATGGAGTTCCCAGACGAGTTTTGCATACCGAGACATGATCTCTCCATCGCCAGGATCGGCTAGTATTGCTCTCGAGTAGTATTCCTCTGCCCCTTGCATGTCTCCTTTGGTCTGCAATTCAAACAGTGACATATTTTTTTACTTCTACGATTCAATGGTTTAGAAGGTCATTTCATTATCATCCAAAGTCTGAACCTTTAAACTCTCAGCAGAATTCACACAAGACCCTTACCTGATATAGAAACTGAGCATAGTTTCTTAGGACGAGAGCATTATTGGGGTGCTCCTCAACCATCTGCCTATAATGATCTTCCACAATCAAACCTCCTTTGCTGCTAGGTTCTCCATTGTTGGCAGAGAAAGCAGAAAGCGGCACAGGAACGTGTTCTTTCTGCTCCCGTTTACCTTCATCTCCCTCTTCCTCATCTATTTCCCAGAGAAAGCTAGCATATGCGCCGAGTACATTGCTGAAACATGCATGAGTCGCAGGAAAATCAGCCGCAGGTTCATACCCAGCAGAAACAACGCGAGAGGTTAAAAGTCTGAAGCAAAAGAAGTTCTGTTACCTGTCTTGAGGAGCAGCCTGAGCAGCGCGTTCAAAGCAAACCATTGCTCTATCTTGGTCGCGGTGGAGCTCCCACACCAGTTTTGCATACTGCATCAAGATCTCACCATCTCCAGGCTCAACCTGTATTGCCCTGTGATAGTATTCCTCAGCTCCATGGAGGTCTCCCTTGGACTGAAACAATCAAGAAAAAAATGAGTTTAGAGTCAGTTTTGCCCCACTCCAAAAGAACAGGATTCAAGCAAGCAAATCAAAAGAGCATATGAGTCTGTAACCTGCAAGAGATGAGCATAATTCCTGAGGAACAATGGGTGGCTAGGGAATTGATCAAGCATCTTACTGTAGTACTCTTCCAAATCACCACCCTCATCAAGCAAAGACGAAGCAGCTTGAAAATCTATAGCACTGTCGAACCCAAGTCCAGTAGCAAGATACATGGGAGGGCTAGCAGGTTGGTTCTCATCTTCGACAAAACTCAGACTCGGAGGAATCACCACACGTTTATTGAAGGTCAAATTTTTACTTTGATCTCCATCATCATCACCATCATCTTCGTCTTCTCCAGTCTCCTTCTCCTCCACTTCCTCAATCAAGCCCATGTCATTTTCCTTCCCCTTCCCAAAGCTAAAATCCCCACTCTCAATACTCTCCCCAATGGTCACGGTCCTCATCAAAACCCCATCTTTCTGTTCTTCCTCGCCCACTTCTTCATCGGTAGTGGTGAAGACGGAGAAGGAAGGAGCTGAGTGGAGCATCCTCTTTCTGGGTGGATACCGCCTTGGAGTTAGAGAGTGTTGTTGTAGGCTGGATTCACAAGAAGGAAACGAAGCTGCTGCAAATCTGTCAATGTTACTGTCAGACAAAGCCCTTCGAAACCCAACTCCACCTTTCCCAGCTTCTCGATTCGGCCCCGACGGAGATGATTTCCCGCTGGAGGAGGATGAAGAAGTAGGGGAGAAAGGCGGGAAGCTGAGGTGAGAAGATGGCGCGTTTTTGTGGTGGTGGTGATGCCTGCCGCTGGAATTGCTATTGCTATCGCTATTACTAGCGGGATTGCGGAAGTCTCTTACTGGGCTTTCTGAAAGGACAGTAAAGATTGCTCCTTTTATTCCTGGGCTTGACGACGTCCTCAGAAGCATATTGATTGAACCTCCCTTTTTCGCACCTTATGGCTGGAAATGGATTGGAGGAGAAAGAAAAGAAGCTCTTTGGTTGTTAGATTTTTTTTTTTGTTTGGAAAAATCAGCAGAGCAGCAGGTCAAACTATTGGGTGGCTTTCTAATACAACTGCTAAAAAGTAAAAGCTGCAGCGGGATGCATATGACCTTCAATCAATCAATCTGAATCTGTATCACCATTGACTGACTTGCTAACTCACATGAAGCTTTGGGGAGCCAAATATGGCTTTTTGATTGTTTCCTGTTTGACATTTCCCGAAGGTTTGCAGCTTGCTACGTTTTCCCATTGTGAGAGTGAGTTTCTTGGTTTAGAGAGAAGGCCATAGATTAGTGTAGTGGATTGCCATGGATATCGGATCTAGACCACGTTGGTTGGTGGTGGTGTTGGCTTGGTGTTTGGAAAAGGGAACAAGGTGACTGATTTCTCACTCCAAACCCAACATGCGCACAAAATCAGTAGTTGTGGTTGCCCAATTAAGCTAAACAAGATAGAAGGATTAGAGAAAACACCAAGAGAGATGCTGAATATCACCTTAGATTAGCTTGGTTCTTGAAACAAGAGCATCATTGATGGGGTCGGATCTGTGTTTTGATGGAATTGGACGATAGATAGCTCACCATTACCAACTGTGTTAAAGGATAAGAGTCTTCTTATCTTTATGGACGTCCACTGTATTGTATTATATTGGCCTGGCCACCTGATTCGCCATTATTTTACCTCCTGCATTTCATCAATCATTAGATCAGTAGATAGAGTGAAGGGGTTGGCTTACTTTTACAGCAGTAGAGCCAAACACAAGCCACGTGTAACTTCTCATACGTGTGATCTTCTGCATGGTTACATCTGTTTAGCAGCCATAGACAGATTAGTGTCGACTCTCTGACAATGACTGGCTGTCTCTGTTAGGAAGGAAAAGAAGACAAGAAGGGATATTATGCAACGGCTGGGCTAGAGTAGGCTTCAAGTTACGTACGGTGAGGCCCAGGTTGGAAAATCACAAGCTTGATCAGCAAGTCCGTCAGCTTGGAACGTCGCTGCTTGCTTTCGATTCAGAGAGATGAGAGTTGATCTTTAGTTCGTTCTTCCAGAACTTAGTTCGCTCCAGTTAATGGAGACCAAATTCCAAGAGATTACAGGAGAAGGGCAACAGGGTAACCAAAAACCGGGCCTCGTCTAATACAGAAACTGCAATCTGGAATATGATCTTTGCTTTCTGAATACAGTGAGGTCGATTGACTGACAGATCAACCAGACTTTACAAGCAAAAGGTTTCCTTTGATAAAAGAATGAAATGGAGAAAAGGGCAACTCAATTCTTACAAACAAACCGGGGGAGGCCGGGATTCAAAGTATCGGAGGAGGGATTAAAGAACCCAAAACAATATAACTGCAGACAGGCATATTCATCTCGTGATGGTCTTCATTTGAAGGTGGAAAGCCGAGGAAGCTTGTCTCTCAGGTAATACAACCTTGCCCTTCTCACCTTTCTGTGAGAAACTACTTTGATCTCCTTGATGTTTGGTGAGTACCTGCACATTAACAACGTAAAACACATTTGTCTAACATTAGAGCAGAGGGTGACATCGACAAAGACGTGATGATGCAGCTTTATCGCTAGCCTCAAAACCTTGCCTAGCTCGATTTTTACTAGTATACCAAGGAATTACCATACCCCTACGAACTTTCCCTCCCACAAGCAAAAGCTAGTTTCAATCAAGAGGTGAAGTCAACACAAACCTAAGCGCTTAAGCATGCGAAACATAGGGATGGTTAAGTAGTTCGTTAACCAAACTCGAGTATACGTATGGGTACTCTGCAAATGACAAACATAGTTTATAGCTCACTCCTAGTTGTTATACCTCTTCTTCATTTGTTGGACATCACCACTCATGATCCATAGCCTATCATATTAATATTTTCAAATGTGGATTCTACCTATGAAATGATGTTGCAATTTCAAAAGCTTGTCCATCAAAAAACCAAAGAAAAGGATAAATTTTCTATTGGTACAGCTTGTTTCCCATGGCTGACAGAAAATGTTCATAAACCAGCTGTTAAGAAAGCCCGGTCTAGATAAGTTCACGACAATCCGACAGAACTTGGCTACCATGGATAGTAATGGCAAAATGAGACCACAAAGAAGGTACTCACAGGGGGAAGACAATCTCAACACCTATGCCGGCAATGATCCTCCGGATGCGAATTGTAGTGTGGATGCCAGCATTTTGCCTCGACATAACAATGCCTTTGTAAATGGAGAGCCTACGCCTATTTTCTGGGACTTCCTGCAAAGTCATACTTTGCAAAATCAGAGGCAAACCCCAAAAAGCCATATCCACTCTCCCAAGGAAGAACCCTATAACCAATTACCAATTTGATTTCAACTATATCACCAGTTCTTATATCTGGAATCGGCCTTTCAAGCTCTGATGCTTCAACTGCTCGCTTGTTCAATATCTGCTCAAACACCAACAACACAATTGAATTCAAATAAGAATCAGGAGTGAACTTTTGACTCTGCTTCTCATCATTTAACAATCAATCAGAAGCAAACCACCACATAGCGACCAATAAAACTGTGTAGATAGAAAGAACAGATTAGGATTCTTTACCCCCATAACATCCCCAAGCCTGACTCTTGGCTGCCATGGCTTTTTCTCAACTTCTTCACCCTCCACCGAAGCTCCTTCTTCTCCTTCAACATCCTCACCAGCTTCCGCAAGCTCTGCTCCTCCGTCTCCTGCAAGTTCACCGCTGCTTCCTTCCGCCTCTGCCCTGGCGACAACTCTGTGTCTGGTGAATGCCGCGACAAGTTCAGTAAGAGCCAACGAGTTCGGAGAAACCCCAGAACCGGAAACGCGGGAAATCGAACAGCAAGCGGAGGAGGGAATGGCGGCGCGATTGGTTGAGCAAGTAAACCCCAGTCTCCTTGCCGGCGGGGATTGAGCGGCGGCGTGATTTATCGGAATCGTAAGCAACGCTTGAGGAAGAATTTTGGAACCCATGCTTTGTGGAACTTGATCACCACGTCCCAAAGGATCGAGAGTTGGGTTTTTGAGGGGAAAGAGGGAAACGAGCTGGAGTCGATTATCAATGCGAAGAAGCCATTTTTGTGATTGAACAATGAGATGATAGCAAAGGAGATTGGAGAAGCAGTGGGAAAAATAACGCCTTATCCGTTGCGAGATGAGAGCAGGCCAGCGGGTCGGGCTTTAACTCTGACCCGATTCGGAAATCTTCTTGGGCCCGAAGCCCAGCAGGAATCCGAGAAAGAATTTGACCACCTTTGACTTTCTGTTTCCCTCGCAATTTTGGCTTCTCTAAAAAAGGAGCGGTCTTAAGAAATTCGCGCCAGAAATAGAAAGAAAAAAAATGTTCTGCCATGGCAACCATCAGAATGTTCATCAAATGCCTCCCCATTCCCATTTCCTTCCCATTTCACCTGACTCCCACAATTCATGCCACCGGCCCCCTTCCCTCGTCGTCCTCTCATCGGACGGCGAGAGCAGGGCGTCCATTCTCCACGTCCAATCGCTTAATTAATTAAGTCACCACATCTCGATCTACCTCCGCCGTCGCCGCCGCCACCGTCGCAACCATGTCTCGGATCTTGAACCCGTTCCAGCTCCTGGAGCTGACCATAATGTCGGGTCAGGAACTCCACCAGGTGTCCCGCAAGATGAAGACCTACGCGGTCGCTTGGATCCACCCGAACCGCAAGCTGTCCACCCGGGTCGACTCGCTGGGTCACAACCGACCCACATGGAACGACAAGTTCGTTTTCCGGGTCGACGAGGAATTCCTCTACAGCGACACCTCCGCGGTCACGATCGACATCTACGCCGTCCACTGGTTCCGCGACGTCCTCGTCGGCACCGTCCGGGTGCTCGTCGGCAGCGTCGCCCCTCCCCGGCAGCAGCAGCAAACCCGGCCCAACAAGGTCCTCCGCCAGGGGAACCGGTTCCTCGCGCTCCAGGTCCGCCGCCCGTCGGGTCGCCCGCAGGGCCTCCTCAATGTCGGCGTCGCCGTGCTGGACAGCTCGATGCGGAGCATGCCGCTCTATTGCGGATCCTCCGCCGTCGGGTACCGAGATCTGATGGGCGAGAAGAAAGGGGATGAGGGCAGCAGCGATGGGGGAAGCAGCAGCATGTATTCTGCAATCCCTAACAAGAAGCAATTCTTGCTCCCTTGGATCCCTACACCCGAATTGAGGCGGACCAAGAGCGATTCCAGCTCTATGCTAGATCTGCCGCCAACGGGGAAGGGGAAGAAGACGGGGACGGATCGAATCGGCGGCGGAGGAGGAGGGGGTTCCATGGTGAACGGAAGATCCAGAGCCGGATCGATGTTGACCGGGCTGGAGAGTTACCGGAATGGTACTAAATTCAACAAAACCCGTTCGCCCGATTCCCGAGGAAGTCAATCGGATGTCGCCGGTTTGGCTCAGAAGAAGAAGAAGAAGGATTGCAAATCGAATCAGATCCCCTTACCACCGGGCGCGAAATTCCTTCACGGGTCAGATACAAGCTCGTCGGACGGATTCTCTGCTGCCGGGAACCCGATGGCGGTCAAGAAGCCGGGCCGTCCGCCGATTACAGATTCGGAGCTGGGTCCGTCGGCGTCGGAGGTGGCTGCGGCGACGGTGGCGAAGATCCGGAACTTGAATTACAAATGGGAGGAGGGTTCGGACGTCGTGGGCTCGTGGAGCATGGAGAGCAGCAGCATGGAGGGGCTGCAATCGAAGTTGGAACGGTGGCGGACGGATTTCCCCCCGGTGTATGCCGGCGGGAGTGTGGTCCGAAGCGGTCCGGAGAGCAGCAGCGGTGGCGGGAGCAGCATGGTCAGCGGACCGGGCGGGGGTAACGGCAGGGTGGTGAGGCAGGGGAAGGACGGTAAGGGAGCAGGTGGGTTCACGTGCTTGACGAACATTTGCGGGCTACAGTTCACGATCGTATGCGGCGGCGCCGCCGCAGCGAGAAGGACGAAGAAGGCGAAGAAACAGAAATGGGACAAGAGCAGCTCCATTTCCATTTGACCGGCCAAAGACTTTTGAACCTTTTCAAAGAGCGAGTGGGTGCGTACGGTAAGGGAACAGGTTTTGGCCGGGAGGTTGCGGTGGAGGATAAGGAAGTACGCATCTTGGGTGGACGTTAGGGGAGGTCGGCGTTGGTTAGCTCATTTACCCCCATTTTATTCCTGCTCTTTGTTTGTTATCTTCCTATTTTTGGTCTCGTTTTTATTTCTTGTTATTTTTCCTCGTTAATTACCGTGGTCAATTAATTGTTCGGAAAAACAGTGGGAAGGAAGGTGTTTAAGAATTTCTTTTTTTCTATATTCTGAATTGAATTTACCAATATAACATAACTGAAATCAGTAAAAGAGTAAAATGAGACCGAAACAAGATGTTTACCAACCCTAATGGCTAATGGATTTTGGGTTGAGAAGTTTTTCTTTTGAGATTCTAGTTTTGGGCTTTTGGCCCTTTCCATGTCGTAGCTGAACACAAGTTCCGAAAATTAAACATTTTCCATGGAAGCTCTGGTTCATAGAGAAATGGAACTCCAGTCCACACGCGGAGCTCAGTTCGATTCATCTTAATTGGGAATCTCGATTGTCGACCATTTGTTCAGCCAACGCCTCCACGACGTTCCCCATAACCCCGTCGCTCACCTTCTCTCCGTTTGCCCCAATTTTGACCCTACGACGACCGAATGGCGGCCGGCCAGGCAAGTTGTCGACCCTCTCACGAGCTTGGTGGTTTCCGTAGCAAGCGGCCACCATCAATTCTACCCTTCTTTCAATCCGGTCCCTTCCCCATTCTCCACAGCCTGATCAATCGGCGACTAAGAAAGTGACCACCTTCGTTCTCTCCCTTATTCGCACCGCCGGATCAGCTCCCATGTGGAATGTGAGCCGTGATAGATTGGCGGTGAGCCATGCTTCTAGATCCGAGAGAGGGGGGGAACTTCCAAGCACCCATCTTTTGGCGGTTTGCGAAGCCAGCTCCACCGGTCGGCCGGCCGTCTTCCACCACGAGCCCTTCCAATTCATTCGGCGACTCCCCATCAGGAGATGCAAAGAAGAACAGAGGAAATCGCCTCTAAGCTTCCAACCGTAGGTGCTATTGTTATGCTGGCGGGGAATGAAAGGTGAAGAAAAGGAATGGAAAAGGACATGGTAAATTCCATTTTGTCCCCTCTTAATGTTCATGTTTCTGATGTGAATTTGCCCTAACATGGGGTCATTGATACAACAAAAAATGAGTCATTTAGATAATCGAATATGACCGTAACGGATGTCTGCTCAATCTGAAGGAAATTTTGCGGAAACTAGCTTTACAGAATTATTATGAAGCTATGCGACTCGAAATTGATCCCTATGCATGATAGAAGTTATATACTCTATAATATAGGTTACTCTTCGTCCATTTCATTTTTGTATGGATGTTCAACACACAGTTCAGCGAATTCATTCGGATATGGGTTTTATGATGTCGTGTTTAACATGTTCCCTAGTTTGGTGGTTTGGTATGTCGCTTTTGTATGTGTCTTCCTCAATATTCCAACTTTCCACCATCTTATAAATGCCCAACCTGCATTTGTACCAGAACTACAGTCCCGAGCAATCTCGATTCTTTGACAAGAGAAGGCCAACTATAATCAATCATAATTTGGAAGGTACGTCTCTTTTGCTATTTTTTTTAATGGGAATTTGTGTTCCCATGCCATGCCACGGCAACCAAACCCAATCTCGATTCTTAGACAAGAGATTACCAACGATGATTTGATCACAATAATATTGAAATTAAATTTGGTTTAGAAAGTATAACTCCGGTTAGTAAATCTTCATGAATGATGGAAGTGTAGAGCGACAAATTTACTACAAAATATTTTGGTACAGGGAGGTGGGCAAATAGCTTATGATTATCACCACCTAAACGTCAGTATGCTCTTTCAAGTCAGTTGAACTAAAGCTTTACTAGCTTATGAATTGAGTGATTAGTTAGTTTTAAAAACATTTTTTTTTATTGTTGGTTGAGTGATTAGTTAGCTTCACTTCCTTTCAACTACATTTCATTTCATGTTGATAGATTGATTGATACATGGAGGGATAGTTGGATGACGTACAGGTGAATTTGTTTGTGTGAACCATGTTGCTGATGAAGTGAACTGAATCCGAATCCGCTCTGGAAAAGGAAAGCTGCACCAGTGTTTAAGTGTTGCTTAGTTAAACTGTGTCGTTTTGGTTTGTTTCTGTTTGGTACTTAAAGTTTGTCGAGGGTTAGTAGTGATCATTGTTGCTGAACTAGCCGTTGCAGCTGTTTGTTGCAGCAGGGTCGAGTAGTTAGGCAGGGAGCTATTTTCCAGGGATCATGGGGATAGGGTTGTTTGTCAAAGCCGAGTTTGAGGGCTGTAGTTGAGAATCCTCTGTATATATTTCAATTCCAATCAATGAATAAAGGCGTCAGTTTGCAGTACATCTGAGTTAACAAAGTGGTATCAGAGCGGGTTGCAAGCTGTAACCAAGAGAGATTTGTGTGATTCGTGAGTAAGTAAAGAGTGATTCTCTGGGTTGGGAAACACGAGTGAACAAGTGAGGCAAGATATTTCCTGGTGAGAGCTCAAATATGAGTGAAAGCAGCTTTGCTCAGGTCTGTATACCCAAGTTTGATGGGGATTTCGACCACTGGAGCATGCTGATGGAGAACCTTCTGCGATCTAAAGAATACTGGGCAGTGGTTCAGGATGGAATAAGGGAGCCTGCACAAGGAGAGGAGCTGACTGAGGCTCAGCAAAGAGTCCTGGAGGAAAGGAGATTGAGAGATCTCAAGGCAAAGAATTACTTATTCAGCTCCATTGACAAGAGCATTTTGAAGACAATTACTCAAAAGGCAACAGCCAAGGAGCTGTGGGATTCAATGAAAACAAGGTATCAGGGCAGTGAAAGGGTGAAGAAGTCACAACTCCAGAGTCTCAGGAGAAGTTTTGAACTGCTGCAAATGAAGGAGGGAGAGTCTGTTACAGACTATTTTGGAAGAGTAATGACTGTGGCCAACTCTATGAGGAACTGTGGAGAGATGATGCCAGATGTGAAGATAGTGGAAAAGGTACTGAGAACACTGACTGCAAAATTCAATTTCATAGTCTGTTCTATAGAAGAGTCCAAGGACATAGAAGAATTGAGTGTTGAAGCTTTGCAAAGCTCATTGCTTGTGCATGAGCAAAAGTTTATTAAGCAATCTGAGGAAGAACAGGCTTTGAAGGTGACTTTTGAGTATGGAGGAAGAGGTGGACGAGGTCCAGGGAGAGGCATGTATCAGGGTAGAGGAAGGGGAAGAGGAAGGGGATTGAATCGTGACTTGGTAGAATGCTTTAAATGTCACAAACTGGGACATTTTAAGGCAGAATGCCCTGAGTGGTATGGCAATCACCAAACACACTATTCAAGTCACAGTTCCAATCCTAATCAGTCACAATTCAACCACCCTGACATGACTGAAGATGTTCTACTCATGGCTTTTGTCGAGAAGAAAGAAGAAGAAGCAGGAGTGGATCTGCAGAATTCAATGGCCTTTCTGGACTCACAGCTTGAAGAGACAAGGGATACCTGGTGGTTTCTTGATTCTGGCTGCAGCAACCACATGAGTGGAGAAAAGCAGTGGTTCACTACCATGGAAGACAATGATGATTGCAATGTGAAGTTGGGCAATGGATCGAGGCTTACAGTTGCTGGCAAAGGCACAGTCAGGATAGTGGTAGATGGAGTTTCTCTGGCAATCAGTGATGTGTTCTATGTTCCAGGGCTCACTACAAACCTGCTGAGCGTAGGACAATTACAAGAGAAGCAGTTGAACTTTGTCTTCAAAGAAGGAACTTGCAAAATCTATCATGAAGAGAAGGGATTGTTGCTGCAAACAACAATGAAGACCAACAGAATGTTTGTTCTGCACTCTCAGAAGCAGACTAACAGTTCTAACAATAATCATCACTGTTTGCACCAAACTGAAGCCAGTAACAAGCTATTCAATCTCTGGCATAGGAGATTTGGACATCTAAACAGCAAAAGCCTACTGCAGATGAAGAAAAAGGAGGTTGTGCAAGGATTACCTCAGCTGCAAGGAGACCTGGGAGTCTGCTCCACCTGCCAGATTGGAAAGCAACACAGAGCCAGCTTTCCTAAGCAAAGCACATGGAGAGCAACCAAGAGACTCCAGCTGATTCATGCTGACCTATGTGGACCAATCACACCAGTGTCCAATGGGGGAAAAAGATACATTCTCACTATCACTGATGACTTCAGCAGGAAGTTGTGGGTGTATTTCTTGGAAACAAAAGCAGAAACTCTAAGTTGTTTCAAGAAATACAAAGCTCAAGTAGAAAAAGAAGCTGGTGAACCTATTGTGTGTCTCAGAACTGATCGAGGAGGGGAATTTCTTTTGAATGAGTTCAAAGGATTATGTGAAGCTGAAGGCATAAGGAGGCAACTGACTGCTGCATTGACTCCCCAACAGAATGGGGTTGCTGAGAGGAGGAACAGGACCATAATGAACATGGTCAGGTGCTCCATGGCTGATACAAGAGTCCCTGCAACATTCTGGCCAGAGGCTGTGGCATGGACCAGTCACATTTTAAACAGAAGTCCTACCTCAGCAAACTCTGGAAAAACACCACATGAGCTCTGGTCAGGTAAACCTCCAGCTGTTGGTCATTTTAAAGTGTTTGGATGTGTAGCATATGTCCATGTGAATGATCACCTGAGGAAGAAATTGGATGCCAAAAGTATACAGTGCTACTTCCTAGGCTTATCCACTGAGTCTAAGGCTTATAAACTGTATAATCCTGTTACCAAAAAGATAGTGATCAGTAGGGACGTGGTCTTTGATGAGACCAAGGGCTGGTCTTGGGAGTCTGAAACTGAACCTGTATTGACCAAAGTGACTTGGGAAGGAAGTAATGAGCCATGGTATGAATCTGATGAGGAGGAAGAAACTGCCACTACAGAATCAACACCATCAGTCACACCACCAGCAGACCCATCAACAGAACCAACTACACCAATTCCTTCTGCAGCAACTCAAGCACCTCAGGATGATGGGGAGGAAGATGAGGATAATGATCCTGATGTGCTTGGCCTTCCCAGTGGAGGATTAGGTCCCAGAGTGAGGAAACCACCCAGCCACTTGTCAATTTATGACTGCACTTACTTTGCAGGCTTAGACTACTGGGCTATGGTAACTATCAGTGATGATCCTACTACTTTTGAAGAAGCTGTGCAGAATGAGAAGTGGAGAAAGGCAATGCAGCAAGAAATGATCAGCATTGAGAAAAATGACACATGGATTCTGGTGACATTACCTGCAGGGGTGACTCCAATTGGAGTTAAGTGGATTTTCAAGACTAAGTTGAAGGAGGATGGATCTCTGGACAAATTCAAAGCAAGGCTAGTGGCAAAAGGGTATGCACAGAAACATGGTATAGACTATACTGAAGTCTTTGCTCCTGTGGCCAGGTGGGACACAATCAGAACCCTTCTTGCACTAGCAGCATATCATGGTTTTCCAGTATATCAACTCGATGTAAATAGTGCCTTTTTACATGGTGAGCTGACTGAGGAAGTCTACATCGAGCAGCCTCAAGGTTTTGAAGTCAAGGGTGAGGAACAGAAGGTTTATAAACTCAAGAAAGCACTGTATGGGTTGAAACAGGCTCCAAGAGCCTGGTACAGTAGGATTGAGGCCTATTTTCTCAAATCTGGCTTTGAGAGAAGTGATTATGAGCATACATTGTTCATAAAGAAGTCTGGAAATGACCTCCTGTTGGTCAGTCTCTATGTAGATGATCTTATGTACACCAGCAGCAGCTCTGAGCTCATAGAAGAATTCAAGAAGTCCATGCAAGAAGAATTTGAAATGACAGACCTAGGGAGGATGAAGTACTTTCTGGGAGTGGAGGTGCATCAAAGTAAAGCTGGAATCTTTATCAATCAGCAGAAATATGTGAAGGAGGTATTAGAGAAGTATGGTCTGTCAGCTTGCAATTTTGTGAAGAACCCTTCAGCCCCTGGAACTAAACTGTCTAAAGCAGGAGATGGGGTTCAGGTAGATGCTACTGAGTATAAAAGTTTGATTGGCAGCCTGCTTTATATGTGTGCTACTCGGCCAGATATCATGTATTCTGTGTGCTTGTTAAGTAGATTCATGGAGGCACCAACAAGACAGCATATGTTTGCAGCTAAAAGGGTCTTGAGGTACTTAAAGGGCACTATAAGTCATGGCATTTGGTACAAGAAGAAGGATGGAAATGATAAGTTGGTGGGGTACACTGATAGTGATTATGCAGGTGACTTGGATGATCGAAAGTCAACCAGTGGCTATGTGTTCTTCATTGCTGGAGGGGCTATTTCATGGGCCTCGAAGAAACAGCCAGTAGTCACTTTATCAACCACTGAAGCTGAGTTTGTGGCTGGATCCTATTGTGCAGCCCAATGTGTCTGGTTGAGGAAGATACTAGAACAGATGGGTTGGAAGAGCAGTGTTGATACTGCCACAAGAGTTCTGTGTGACAGCAGCTCTGCAATCAAGCTGTCCAAGAACCCTGTACTTCACGGCAGGAGTAAACACATCGACGTGCGCTTTCATTTTCTGAGGAATTTGGCTAAGGAAGAGGTGATTGAGATGGAACATTGTCGAAGTCATGAACAAGTTGCTGATATCATGACAAAATCCCTCCAACTGGATGCGTTTCAAACACTAAGATATCAATTGGGAGTCTGTGATGAAAGAGAGTTCGAAGAAGCAGGAGCCAACAGTGGAGAAAAGGAGCACTAAGGTCTGTGAAGGGGGATTCAGTTCAGGGGAGGATAATGTTGCTGATGAAGTGAACTGAATCCGAATCCGCTCTGGAAAAGGAAAGCTGCACCAGTGTTTAAGTGTTGCTTAGTTAAACTGTGTCGTTTTGGTTTGTTTCTGTTTGGTACTTAAAGTTTGTCGAGGGTTAGTAGTGATCATTGTTGCTGAACTAGCCGTTGCAGCTGTTTGTTGCAGCAGGGTCGAGTAGTTAGGCAGGGAGCTATTTTCCAGGGATCATGGGGATAGGGTTGTTTGTCAAAGCCGAGTTTGAGGGCTGTAGTTGAGAGTCCTCTGTATATATTTCAATTCCAATCAATGAATAAAGGCGTCAGTTTGCAGTACATCTGAGTTAACAAACCACACATTAGCTAGCCAGCTTTAGTGAGAAACATTGTCCATATAATCAAGCTATCAAGATGCATCATAGGCAAATTCAACAGCCCATCATAATGTGAATGAGAATGCTTCCAATGGTTTTAGCATAATGTGTATTACAAGTTCAAAACTACCTTACATGCAAGTTCCCCAGGCCGATTCTCTCAAAAGTATGTTGCATGTCTGGGAAACCAGATTACTTCAACTAAAACCACATTTCCATGGGGCCAAGTGTTTCCACTTTCAGCGAACCACAAGCAAGCTGGTATTTTCTAGTTGTTATTATTGCAGGCCGATCTCTTGCTATAGATTATACAACGTACTGTGTCATGTGATTGAAGTTACTATATATGGTGTAGAGCAGATTTGCAGTTTTCGTCTGCTATCTTATGCCGAAGCTGAATTATTGCTCTGGACATGCACTGTGGAAAGAAAGATGACTTCGCAATGCATGTAGGAATGGAAGAAAGAGGGTTGGAATTTCTGTCTATGTTGTTGGTAGCTAGAGAAGTAGCTAGGCCAGTAGACATAAGAAAATTTGCATGCAGCCTTGTCATGGCGCACTTCAAGGAAGATCCATGTTGAACAATGATCAGATTCAGATACGAGCCTCTGCTAGCTATTCGATACGTCAATCATAAGGCTTCTATTACAGGCAACATATTTGGTTGTAATGTAGATTGTAGCGGGTTATACTTCCAATAAATGGGGATTTGAACCTCTACTCAGAGTTAACAGATACACTGATTTTCGCCAGGAGAAAATTGTGCAATCTATGTAAACTGCTCCTGTTTTTTCTTTTTTCTTTCTTTTTCCCCCAGTAAAAGTAAATTAAGCAAAATGTTAAATAAATTTAAAAGGAACTGATGGAAAATCAAAATAAAAAGGTAAAAAGTAAAATAAATTTAACAGTAGCGCAACAGTATTGGCCGTATAATAGATGTTTATTGATTATTTTCTTACAGAGTTAAAAAAAAATAGACATCTAAATCTAAAAAAGATTGCTGATGGATAATTTTTATTATTATTCTTCTCCTCCTTCTCCCTCTTCCTCGACGTTGGTTGGTGGCTGTCGGTATTTAAGGTACAACACAAACTGTGCTACCCCAAACACCAACCCGAGGATGTTTGGCATCTGCATCGATAAATCAAATAAACATCGATTAGTAGTAATCCAAACTACTAGGACATTGAATATAAAAATTTTAAGTGAAAAAAGTGTAGTAAAAAATTGAAAATTACCGCCACAAAGAAGTCGGAAGTGGCGAGTCCATAGATGAACCAGAAGATGGAGCTGAGAGTCATGGCTACAGACATGGGAATTGGGATTGAACCCACATTCCCTGTATTTATTACCTGCAGCTGGAAGTTAAAAAGAAAATATATGTTAGCATTTTTACTCCATTTATCAAAGTAGGATGAAAATGAAGTACTAGTCGATATTTGCGTACGTAGTTTCTCCAAACATTAATACCAATAATTAATTAAACAATACCAAAAGAAATTATACAATCCAAAAAAGATTTAGCAAGTTAAAATACAATTTCCTCAGTAGCAAAAAAAAAAAAAAAAAAAAAATTTCAAATATATCCAATCTTTCTCTGGTCTCGAAATGACACTACTATCCCATGAATTCATTTCGTGACCATTTTCATTGGCGGCAAAGAGACATTTTCCCGATAGAATATATATAGATGAATTGAATTTTTTCTTTTGTTTTGTTACACGTACGTACCTATGACGCCGGAGATGATCTGCACCCTCTCCATCGCTTCCGGACCCATGGAATATTCGACTGTACGAGGGAGGCTGAGTAGAGTAGCGGAGTGAGTTGAGGTGACGAGGGCCGGGGGTGATGATGAGCGCCGCCGAACGTTTGATTTGGAGTTTGCGGGTACGTGCACAAAGAGGGTAAAAGGGTGGCTGGCCGGCCGGCGGGCAGAACTTGGAAGTCAGGGAGAGGAGAGGCGGGGTTCTTGCCGGCGGGGAGGGATTTGCAGGTGAAGGGAAGAGGAGAGTAAGGCGGGTTTTGTGAGTTTGGTGAGGAAAGGTGGCCGGCGGGGAGGTTTCGGAGGTAAATGGAGGGGAGAGTAAGGCGGGTTTTATGGGTTGTCGGCAGGGAGAGTTTGCAAGTAAGAGAGGAGAGGAAGTTTGGGTGTTGGGTCTTTTAAACCAATATTCTAGAAACGGTACCCTATCAACGATCGGACTAGTAATAATCGGGTACCCGGACATGAAGTGGTAGGCACTTTTAGCGGTATAAAACTATAGAGTAATAATATGGGTGGGATAATGTACTGGTTGCAGCCAAATTTAGCCTTAAATTCAATTCTCAAATGTGATTACGGCCGGCCGGTTGGTTTCACAATCCAAATTTGCCCAGCTACAGAGTCTAATACTACAAGACAATATTCACATGCTAATTCAACTATGCCAATCACCCACAATTAGTCTAATTATATCATCATTCATGTAATCTCAATCTGTTTGTCGAGCGATGAGTGATGATGATTTGGTACGTACTTCCTGCCAATGAGAAGCCATAATTAGTTTCGAGAGGATAAAGGAATCGGGAAATTAGGGTTTCCAGTTATTGTTATATATTTAGAAAAGATAATACATGGATCTCTTGGTTTAACTTCTGAGTTCGATCGGCAGAGAGTGTGTGTGTACTCTCAATTCCGACGTTACTTACACCTTTGTCGCAAATTTTCAAGTCTGCGTTAATCCATCCCATCATTCAAACTCTTACTGTTTCCTCAATTAATAAACTCTTTAGAGGAACATAATTTGATTGGACTTAATTGCACCTACTTTACCATCATCAATTCATCATTTGATTAGTAATAAAATCAGTATCACCCTCATAAAAATAAAAAAAATTAATCGTTGCAGTACTAATAAATACTATTATTTATAATTATTTGTAAAATGAACTTACAATCAATTCATCTACGCCAAATGCTAATCGTTTCAGTACTAATAAATAAGAACATGCTCATAGGAAATTCATCTACGAGCCAAATGCTAAAATTAATTCTATGAAATTAATATTCTCAAACACAATAATAATAATCCTACTAATGAAGACCTAATTTGCTGAAATGAAGGGATTAATTAGTTTTTCTAAATCTATGATAAAACCTAATGGGAGGAACAACCTATATAAATTAAGTATAAACCCGTAAAATGCTTCTCCGTCCCGTCCGGTTTAATAGTATCAGTTTATTGAACGAATCCAAATTTACCCAGCTAAACAATGGTCTAACACGTGGCGATGTCTCATTGGCTGGTAGCACAACAATAGTTAAGGAAAATGAGGAGAGATTTTCCGTTGCCGAGGTTTTTAGAGAAAAAAACGAAATCAGAGCAAAAGAAGGACGACGTACCGTCGATCGTAAATGTGTCTTCCGCTCCGGTGACCACCGCTCGCCTGAATCCTCGCAATCGCAAAAAAAAAAAAAAAAAAAAAAAACTGGCGGTTAGTGGTGGATATCATGCGCCAATAGTTTTTTTTTTGGGTGTGAACAATAAGTAAGAAGCAAAAGTAGAGAGAAAATGGGTTCTGAAAATCACCTCTGATCTATCTCGCCCAAATACAGAATCGGACGCCATCCGTCCTTGACCGACTCCCTGAGAAAAAAGCTTGTTTAAATAGAATGAACAGAGAGAATGCGGTTGTATATATATGTGACTACGTACCGTCCTTGTAGCTGTATGCGTATTTCCCCAACTTCCGGTGGCCACCACTCGCCGGAATCTGGTGCCGGCCGGTCAGCATGCATGATAAGTAATGTTCACTCTTACATAGGGAGGAATAGGCGGCGGAGACCGCAAAAGGGAAATTAAGCGTGGTATACGTATATGCATGCCTTCCTCCCCAAAAATAAGATTACAAAAAAAAAAAAAAAATTTGAGATGGGCAAAGAGGAAAAGGGTAGAGACTCGAGAGTGAGAACAGAAACAGAGACTAATGGCGGTGGAATGGGCCGGAATGAAGAGAGAGAGAGAGAGAGACAGACATACTTACTCTGCCACTCACTCACAAAGACAGAGAAAGAAAGGGTGTCCGTACAAATTGTTATGTTACCATTGTACTTAACAAATTAATTTAAGTCTAATTTTTTTTTAATCATGCAGTGCAATACTTTAATCTAACCGTACAAATTAATATAACAATAAGATCACCAAATTAAGTGAGAAAAAAAATCTCCTCTTAATAATGCAACTATTCATCATACGTATCAGGAATAAAGGGTAAATTGCAATTTTGGTCACTGAGATTACAAAAAACGTTCACGTTTGGTCACTAAAAATATTTAATTCCAATAATGGTCACTAAGATTAGTTTAATAGTCCACGTTTGGTCACTCTCCGTTCGTCTCCGTCCAACTCCGTTAATGGAGTCTGTTAAGTGCTGTCGTGGCAAACAGAAGTGCTTTGTCAATCTAACAGAAATGCGATGTAACCCACCACGTCACTAAAATTTGCCATGTCAAGTTCTCCCAACTCAGCACTTAAACCGGCTTGACCTACAAACCGACTCCGGACTCGCAATTACCAATCCATCTCCGTCGCATTCCAATCTCCCTGCCTCTTTCAAAGCCCAGTTCCACAAAATCCCCTTCCTGGTCCCCCTCTCCAACCAACCTCCTTCTCCCACTTCCCTGCCCGGGCTGCAACTTCGTCAGATTATTCATCCATATCATCGGCGACGGGATTCATGGTCGGTGGAGCAACTTCCTACAAACATATTTTCATCCTGAAGATCGAAGAAGAATTCGACAAATTCCACTACCAGTTCACCCATTTGAAGATACAAGGGTATGGGGACCGGAGAAACTAGGAAGATACTCTGTGAAATCGGCCTACTACCTATGGAGAAGTAAAAGAGAGAACATAGAGGGGGAGCGGTACATCCCCATCGACTGTAAAAGACTATGGCATCTGCAGATACCCCCAAAAATTAGGGTTTTCATATGGAGATGGGGAAGCAATATACTACTGATAGGTTCAAATTTGGCAAGACGAATTCAAGATGCGTATGATGGATGTCCATTCTGCGGATGACTCGAAACGCAAGAACACATTACACGTGATTGTGACTAGTCAGGTAGAGTGTGGCAACCTAGCTCGCTAAGCAAGATTTTTCATTCTGGCTAATGGGAAATCTAGTGAAGAGTGGATTTGTGAAGTAATGGAGAATTCGACGGATGAGGAGTTGGGATCGTTCGTAACAGCGCTATGGTTCCGATGGAAAGAAAGAAATAATCACCTATTTAATAATCCAAAATTGGAATTATGGGAGATAATCGCAAGATCGGAGCAATATATGGAAGCATACATAACAACTCAGGTGAAGAACACGAACCTGGTGACTAAAATGGAGTACAAATGGGAGAAACCCAGAGCAGACAGCTTCAAAGTGAATGTTGATGCGGCGATTTTGAAGGAAGAAGGCACAGGCTTCGGCTTGGTTGGGAGAGATGGAGCTATGATCTTCATAATGACAGCAACACACCAGACAAGAACCGCCTGGTCGCCCGAATTAGCAGAAGCGAAGGCGATATTCTGGGCACTGAATCTGAGCATATTCACTGTTATCGACCATTGCTGATTGAATCGGATTGCCTATCGGTGATAAGAAAGATTCTGGAGGAGGACTAGACAGAGATGGAAATCGAGACTGTGTGTAGTGAGATTAGAAATGCTATGGAGGAGGAAGGGGAGATTGGGGTCCATTTCTGGGGAAGGAAGGGAAATGAGACAGCTCACTTGATGGCCAGGGTGAGATGTGGTTGAGAGGAGTCTGAGATATGGTTAGACCGACCCCCGGTCTGCTTGTTAAACCAACTCAGAGTTGATTGTAATAACCAGTCATTGAATTAATGAAATTTCAGGCCAGTTATAAATAAATAAATAAATAAATAAAAATTGGTTATTTGCTTTGATTGGTTAGCGGTGTTTGAAACCAAACCAAACCACCTCAATTAAATAAGCAAATTTTTTTTAACCAAATCAAACCAATTATCCAAAATTTCCGAATACTACTCATAAAAATGATTATCACGATAACCAATTGAATAACCCTAGAGAAACAGGTTCAATGCATGCTAAGTCTTTTATTGTTTATCACTCTTGTATGTACTCCCTCCACATGCTTTGTGGCTTCCAATGATAACAAGACAGACGTGTTGAGACTTTTAGGGACGAGGGTATACGTACGATAGCCCGAGACCGGGTGACCAGGATTGTGATAGAGTCGTGAACAACGTTCACTTTCCGAAAAGAATATTTCCACCCTCAACAAGCCTAGGGTTACAGGAAATTTCTCCCGAGGATAAAACTATCACCACTTTAGGTTCTAGGCTCAAGAACTCTAAAGCATACTTAGAAATTTTTGGAAGAAAGAAGAAGAATCTGTTTGATGGTCTGTGGCACCATCCACCCCACCCATATATTTATAGGGGCCGAATCCATGCATTGTTTCATGAAAGGTTGCCTTTATCCATACGAAAGGTTGTCTTTATCCATATGAAAGGTTGCTTCTATCCATATGAAAGGTTATCCTTATCCAGATGAAGGGTTGCCTCTATCCATAAGGTTATCCTTATCCATAAAATAATGCAACCGCCACTAGGCCAAAGGGATGTGTCCCTTCACGAAATTAGAATATCGGTTCGGTCGGTCTAATCCCAAACCGGTTGGTCAGTCCAACCCAAAACCAGTTTGACTTGGTTAGTCCGGTTCAACCAAATTTCCAACAAGACGATCCTTAAACACCAAACACGGCCCGCTCTTCTTGATGCTCCAGCTGCAGAATTTGCACCTCTTGTTGTCCCTGTAATTGACGTAGATGTCGAACCAATGAAGCCCTCCCTCTCCCCAGTCCATGGCGCAGAAGAAGAGCGTTCCTCCGAAGAAGTTGGGGTGGAAGGACCAGTGGAATCCTTGATGAGGCATTAACGTTCTCGCTTTCAGATCGTCGTCTGCGGACTTGCAGTGGAGCATCATGTTCGGCCCTCCTTCCAGCTCGTTCCTCACTTCCACGGTTTTTTTCTCTCCCAATGGGTTATATGGGTTCCAACACTGGCATGTGGCTAATGTCGATAACAGAAACAACGCCACTAAAACTAAAATGGCCTTGTTGTTGTTGTTGTTGTTGTTGTTGTTTGTGTGCATCATTGATGCTTCCTGGTTTTGATTTCAGCTTCAAGTTTGGATTTAGGGTGGGAGGTTTAAGAGGAAATTGAAGATGATAACGCCTTTGGATTGCGCACTTTTATATGCAAAAGTTGGTCATTTGTTAGGACGTATGGTTTTTGTATGCTTGCACTTTTTATACGAGATATCATGCATGAATAGCGCAGGGTATACGAATAAGTAGATAATAATGATAAGGTTGTTGTGGAGAAAATCACTCCATGAGTTTTGTGAAGAACTCTCGAAGATTTGACTTTTTTTTTTTCATTTTTAAAATTTCAAACTTTATCTATTTTGTTATAAGAACTTTTCATGTAAATTTTTTTCCTAGTTAGTTACCAATTCATCGTACCTTACGTTACGAAAATATAATTAATCACAAACAACTAGGTTTTTACTAACACAAAAACATGGTTGCTTGAAAAATGGTCTAAAAGGGGCAATATTGTTGTAGTGCTCTTGAACCTCCGTCGAATCAAGTTGGTTTCATCAAAATGATCCAATCTCACGAGGCAATTGACATTACTACCTACGTTTAAGAAAAACCCTTATGTTATAATTTAGGTACGGCCTTCGTTAAGTGCATGATAAATTAGAGGGTATATGTCTAGGTGTCTTGCAAGTCACAATAATTTGAACAAAACGGTCGATCAGTAAGTAGTTATGGTCGACCGATTACACCAATGTGGTCATTCCAAAGAAAGAAAGTGGTCGACCTAAAGAATGGACCTGTCGATCACGCGTGAGAGACTCATAGACAAAAAGGTCAATTTTTCAAGCAAAGTGGTCGACCATATCAAGAAGTGGTTGACCTTTCCATCAAAGTTGGTTGACCACATCAAGATGAGGCCAACCATTCTAGAGAAGAGGTCAATCACACGGAAGAGCGTTTCACCCTCAAATTTAACAACCAATCCTCTTGGTAGATTAAAATTATTGCTTTTATGGTCGACCTTGTACAAGAACAAATATCTTCAACTGTTGTCTATTCCAGTCGACCTCTGTAATAGTCCAATCGACCTCATAGAACCCAGAATGTCATGTACTTTCTGAAATATAACAAACTACCGTAGAAATTTATGAAATTCAATCGACAATCATATTAGTAAGAAATCATATCTTCTTAAAAGCTTAATAATTAACACCAAAATATAATAAACTCACCTCACATAGTTCGCACATATATGCAAAATGAATCTTATATCAATATGCAAAAGGATTAAGCATACAGACAAATGGGAACACATACAAAAAGTTGATGTGAGGTCGACCATTTTTTAAAGTGGTCGACCACTTCAGCCATCAGGTCGACTTGTGTGCCATCAGGTCAACCGCTTGTTGAATGTATCAAAACAGAGAATAGTGTGTTCGGTCTACTGCAAACACTTATCATTCGATCGTTTTTTCCAAGCCACTGTAACAAAGTCCTAAACTAGATTGCTTCTACAAATTTTGTTCAAATCAAATGTCATTCTCATGGTCTCTCTTTCTAAATGTGACTAATGCAATCTTGTCTCTCCTCTTCCTCTTATCTAGTGATAACAAAACAACGCATCACTGTGAGTACTCAAACCGAATTTGAATCGGTTTATTGGGGGAAAATCGAATCTTTGTGGGGTTTTCTGAACTCGGCAATGAGGGTAATGAATTTGGTGTGATTTTTTCGTGTTTTAGTATTCGCACCAAACCCACCTGAATTGTGTTATTAGTTATAAATATGTCCTACATTCACTTAATTACTTAAACACTTTGTTCATCCATATGCCTCAAACATTATAATTATCTCTTAGACCTAAAACCTTACTCATTTTCTCTTACTTTTACAAACAAAGTGACAAGAAACTTCAATTAACATTGACATTTAGATTATATCAAGAATTTTTTTTATAGTGGATCTCATTAAGAATGCAACAGGCTAAGGCCCTAAGGAAAAGACAAAACAATAAACAACAAAGGCTGAAAAATTAGCAGATAACCAGACCCAAACTAAGCCCGAAACTCAATTGAGCCCTAAGCTCAGGACCCAAAAACAAATCCTCTAATCTTCCAACACTAGAAGCCAAGCCATTGCCCCCCTCTGAGATCCCTGCCGCCGTGGGCGAAATTGCCATCGCCGCTCACCTAAATCAAGCAACGCTACCATGACATCGCCACCATTCGTCGAGCCAAGGATCGGTTCCTGCCAAACTCAGATGGTATGGAGAAGGAGAAATATCTCGAAACGCCCCGAGCCAAACAAACCGTTTGCCTCCCGCCAAGCACAACACAGGGGAAACCAAAGAAACTCAATCGGTCGCCGATGGAGGAAACATAGGGGATACGATCTTCTGTCTTCAACTTCTCCAAAATCGCGTCCGTCGTCATAGGCTTCATCTCCGAACCACGAAGATATGCAAGGTGAGAACAAGGAGATAGACTATGGAAAAGGTGAGGAGAAGACAAGCCAGATCTAGAGCATATCTAGCCTCCCTACATCTTCGAAAGGACATGCATCTCTAGTTCTGAAACAATATAACAGAGGACCAAAAATTAACCCAGTCGAAGGGGAAGAAACCAGCGGCGGATCCAGGACCCAATAGAGCACTAGGCCGCATTTCATAAAAAAATTAGATACCGTAAAAAAATTAAAGTTTTTTTTACAATATCAATTATTCATGTCGATCTTTTAAATTTTAATATAGTGAATTCATCAATAATGGAGTCTACATCCATACCAATAGCATACTCTCTTTAAGATAAAATAGTTACCCAATTGGCGAGAAATTCATCGCTCATTTTGTTGCGCAAATAATTTTTCACTTATTTCATTATTGAAAAGGTTCTCTGCATAGTAGTTGTTGAAACGAGCAATGTCAACACTAGAAAAATCAATTAGATAATCAATATATATTGTGTATCAATTTCTACTTTCACCAGGTGCTCTAGTAATTTCTTAAGCGAACAAGCCTCATATTTCTTTTAGTCTTTTATGTTTTAGAATTTTAGGTTTCATTGTTTGTTTTTCTTTAGATGAGAATCATTGGAGCTAGAATTTTCAGGCTAAATTTAGAGTTGTGATTTGAATATGTTCATCTTACCCATTTTCTTAATTACACACAATCTTATTATAAAATAACACTGGGCCGAATTGCTAAAATCGATAAACTCATAAGGGCTATACTAGCTCCGGATCCAAAGGAGGGCTGGGCCGTGGCCCGGGGTGGCCACCCCCTGGATCCACCACTGGAAGAAACACAACCCACAAGGGGAAACCAAACAAGCAGAGAAAACATGTCAAAGAGTGGTTAAAGAAACCAAGAGAAAAGCAAAAAGAGTTGGAATATGAAAACACTAAAAGAAAAGCAGGAGGGGGCGGCGGAGAGTTGTCGTCGATCGTCGGAGAGGTCATAGAAAAAGTTTGAAAAGAAGAACAAGAGAGAGAAACGGTTTCACCTTATCAAGAACTTTATATGTCACTGTTCGGGGATGGTGTAGGTGAGTTTTTCTTAAACCACATGCATACGGGTTGATGGTGGTATGCAGGGGCGGATACATGGGTCTTTGGGGGTGTCCCAGAACACCCTAAATATTGGGAAACGCTTATTCAACTACCGGTAGTAGTTTCGTACGGATATAAGAAAATATAATTGGTAATTTGAGATACCCCTAAAATATGAAAAAACGATTATCCTACCTTCGGTAGTAGTTTGTGTGACAATCTATGTTATTCAAACCTAAGACACTACTATTATTAAACATATTCTCCATTAGGTTGCAACTCATTTGTTGTTATATGTTAAACACTATGTAATAGTAAAAATGTTATTCCTTATCCCCAACTATTTTCAAAACCTAACAATTAAATTAATTATGGGCTACCCTTGATTTGAATTGATTTATGGTTACACTGCAAGTGCTGAAAGTCTTTTCAACTTTGAGTTATATCAAGAGCAAAGTTAGATATCAAATATGCGATCAATTCATGAATTATTGTCTAGTAGGATATCCATGTTTGTTGACCAATGTAGACACCAAATGTATTTTATATTCTTTTTCAGAATATAAAAACGCATTATGGCCTTTTGTTAAAATTTGTACTAGTCATTTTCTGATTTATGAATTATTTAATTTAATTATTGATTTAATTTAATTTTTTGAAGACACCCCTATAAAAAATTCATGGATCCGCCACTATTGATATGTCATATTAAGGGCTGTTAATGATTCGATCAGAGCCGAATTTTATCATAGTTCGGGCTCGGCTCGCTAATATATTTCCAGGTTCGAGCTCGGTTCATGTTCGTCACGAGTTTTAATATGCAAGCTCGAGTTCGGCTCATTTATGCAAATGAAAGCTCGAGCTCGGCTCGTCAAATAAGCTTAACGAGTCCAAAATCGAGTTATGCTCATAAAATGTTCATAATAGCTCAAGATTGACCTAAAACGGGGCACAAAATTACATTCAACCTGTAGCAAAGTCTAGCAAAATAAAACACAATATTTATTCCAATTTCAATACATAAAATTCATGAATTCTAATAATTTCTTATGCCAAACCGTTAAATGAACTTGTTCGCAAGCTTTGGAGCTGAACATGGAATGGCTCGAGTTCGGCTCGTTTAGTTAACGAGTTTGTTTGCGAGCCGGCTCGATTAAAACGAATCGAGTGTCATGAACAAATTTTTCTTGAGTCGGACACCGAACCGTTGATGAGCGGATTGATTCATTAACAATCCTAGTTATATTACATCCGCATAATTTTGGCTATGTGATGATCACGATTTTAAAATGGTAATTCAAAATTATACATAAAAAAACCGACTCGACCCAAACCCATAGTCGTTCTTAGTCTTATGTCTTATATGTAGGGGTGGCAGTTGGGTTATTTCGCTTATAACCGATAACCGATTGACCGGTTATCGGTTGACCGAAATAAACACCCTCCTTACCGAAAACCGACCGAAATAGGCTTCGATTTCTCGGTTACCTCGGTTATCGGTTAACCGAACCACTTTTAAGACCAAAAAACATTTTGACCAGCTTGCGATAACCAACCAAAGTTCGGTTACTTTGATTACCGGTTAGTGAATAACCGGCCGGTTAGTGAATAACCGGCCGGTTAGTGAATAACCGGCCGGTTAGTGAATAACCGGCCGGTTATCAGTTTAACCAGTTGGTTAACCAATAACCGGTAACCGAACTGCCACCCCTACTTATATGATCTCGCTCCTTCATCTCTCTTCCTTCCGTCCCGCTCCCCCTCTCTCAAAAAATACAAAAAGGGAATCTCTCGCCTCTGTTGTGAAGATAATGGGAAAAGGATGAAAATATAAAAAGGAATGAAATAAAAAAAATACTACAATTACTTTTCTACCAAAACTTAATTTGATTTAGTTAAGAGTTAACACTAACTATTAGTCAAACAAATTTCACATTATTTTTTATTAGACAAACTTATTGAATTACTAATAATTAGTCAAATTTTTTGTAATGAATCCATATATTAGTCATTTTACATTACCGTTATTAAGTTTGTAATTTTTTAAGTTAAAATACTAAAGTTTAGGACTGTTGACCTCCATGTGTCTCTTCCAAGTCAGTATCATGTCTCTTCCATAACCCTTTCTTTATTTCTTTCTTTGCCTTCTTCGTCTAACCCTAATTAGGATACTATTTTTATATATTCCAATCACAAGTATGAACGGGTCCATACACGACTCACCAACAGTCTAGAGAACTAATAATTGAACCATGAACCACTAACTTTTTTCCAACTCAACGTTGAGTCTAATTAAAAATAAATATATATGGTTATTACTTATTAGAAATTCGTCATTTTCCACTATGAGATTTGAAGGCATGAAATTTTAAGCGAGTTTCGGTTTGTATTCCTTTTGCTTCTCTCTAAAGTTTTTCTTTTTCACCCGGACTAGAATTTTCAACAATTATACATTGAATGTTTGGGGGTGATAATCCCAACCCCAAAATTGAGCAACTAAATTTTTTGTCTATTACATTTTGGTACCTAAACTTTTGAATTTCTACAAATAGGTCTAATTTCTGTACGTGTAATTAAAATACACTCGAATAGATGGGTATCCATAGTCAACTCATACATATTTAGATTATGGAAATAAATATTCATATCCTACCCAAACCCATCTACAAACTTTCAACCCCATATCTATGTCAGCCATACTCTACCCATGATCAATAGGTCTACTTGGGTTTAGGTAAATATCATTTACTAGCCAAAATTTTCCAACAAAAATTAAAATGGATGTTGACCGTCATATATCTCTTCTCAGTCAATTTACTAACAAAATTGCTAACAAAAAATTGATTTTAGGCTAATAATACTAACAAAACACCATAACGGGCCACATAATACATACCCATAGGTCATCTCCGCACGCGACAAGGCGCGGCATCGCCACCTAGTTGTAGTTGTAATTTATATGGATCTCAAAGAGCATCGCAATAGTATCAAATCTATCATGAAACCAACTATATGTATGGTTTTTTGCCAATCTAGTGCTTGAAGTGAAAGTATAAGACCCTTGGAATGCCATGGATAATAATTTTAATAAATTTCAAACTTTTCTTATCCCTAAATAAAATGAACGATTAATATCATTGATAACACAATAATGAAGTTTTCAGGACCAGAAAACGGCCAACAAGGATGTTTTTGCCTTTTGTATACGCATGATGTTATATAAAGCTTTCTTCTCCAACTCCAAAAGAAGTACCACTACATATATACAAGGCTTCTGGTACAAAATGTGTTCATACATTGCTGCGCTACAAGTATACATGAACTTTGTGACAAGCGTCTGGCTAGTGCAGTTTCATCGTCAGTTCTTCTGACATCATCCAACACTTGCAGAAGGCAGTCACAAATGTCAGTTTTCCACAGTTCCGTCTCGGCATCTGAATTGCTCCACAAACATCAAAACTTTTTAACCGGTTTGAAGCCAAACTAAAATTACAGGGAGCAAAAACCTCCAGACTTTGGTTAAGATAATCCAGAACCACTTAACTATAATATATCCGAATGGATGCAAGGGAAGTTGCAGCATTTAAAGCAAAATGATCGAAGACCAGAAAAACGCAGGTTCTGGTACAAGAAACAGCAGTCATACAGTAAGGCGGACCGTTTCCCACCTGCAAAAGAAAAGTTGAACTGAGAATCGACATCTACAGGTATAGCATAGGAATTACATTAAGTAACAGCACAGGAATGCACCATTTCAGCATAGTAGCAACATTACAATGAGAGCAGGTAACATGGTCAATACTCTAAAACCATGGACCAATCAAAACATGCTGCTCTTACTTTAGAAGCCTGGATAAAGCAGAGTTTCAAGAGCGTGACTGTAAATTGTAAGCACAACACACATTGTAAAGTTTCATCAGGCTTGAGCTTTACATCTTTGAACTAAAGCAGGATCCTTTTATGAATAGCCCAGATCTTAGTTTCAAGTTCCCAACTAAACTTCCTTCCAATCAGAAGCCTGGACTCATCGCACCACATTTGGAAATGTTATCAGCAGTCGAGTTTCGCTAAATTGCAACTGAAACTTAAGCTGGCTCACACTTGAAAACTTGTAACGAGTTTAAACTCTAATAAGAAACGGAACCTAGTACTATGAGCATTATATGCCCATAGATAGATGACTAAACCGTTATTCAGGCTAGTCATTGTCAAATGACCTTCTATCATTCCCACATTACCACTAGACCCTGCCACTTGGGTTGTCAAAGAACAATCTTTGGTTGAACGGCCAAACCCAAGTCTCCAATGCAGGTACCAGAAGGAAGATAGAAGGTCTCTAAAAGCAGTCTATGATAACAACAACTTATTTATCAGTTCCAAACAATCAATTCTCATTTCCATAGCTGACATAGAGAATTCTAGCTTCCTATCGAAGCTGATGAAGATGTTCTGAGAGATCTAACAGGACTCTCCAAGCACTAGTTCCCTAAAAACACAACAAAACCGGTGCATTTATTTGCAGACTGGACTAGGGAAATATCAGGTTGACTAAGGAGGTGCAATGAGCCATTAAAAAGAGAGGGAGAATATGTTAGCTACTAGAACAGTGCAGGGAAAAAAGGAAAGCTACTAGAACGCACTACAACGGCTGAAAGCTAATGAAGAGGGTTGTCCCATTAATACCAAATGGTGAGTCGCCTTTTATAGTAACGGTCTCCTTTGTCGACAATCATGTTTAGCAATAGATAATAATTCTTTCGATGGACAAAATATGGTGAAAGCAGTGGGCTTATCAGAGACAAGTAAAAGGTCCTAGTTTAAGGAACTAAACTTCTATAATAGAAAATAGAATTGCCACTTCTATTGCTTATTTTGCCCCCTTCAAACACAAGGAGATAACTCACTTCCGAGCACAGATAACATATTTCAGCCTAAACTATTTCAGAAAAGACCCAAAAAAGAACTAATCGAAGTAAAGTAGCTGAACATATGACAGGCTATTCTTCCTTATCCAAATTTATTAGACTATAAAGTTGTATGATCTGTAATAAGGATTGCTTATACAATCATCTACGCACAGCGACTATTAACAAACTCATAACATTAGTAAAAGTGATGGAAGTTAATAATCTCATGGTTTGAACTTTTATGACTTGAATAGGATGACTACGTATCAATTTGGAGGTTAATATATTTAGTCACCAATGACGTAAACGGAGTAAGCTAACACTTGAGGGGATCTGAAGTCATTTACGTCAAACTATCATACACTGAAACGAAGCATGTAACTGAATGGGAAAATCCATGAAACCATGCCAAAGTGGTAAACAGGACGTGTGAGAAAAACACACTTGTAAAGCTACTACTCTTCTGCTCCCTGCTGAGTACACAGTTCATCACTAAGTCCAAAAAGAACACCCTGAAACTTACAACTGCTACAGAAAAGGAAGCACCACAGTCAATACCACTACAAGGGCTTGAGACTATACAGCTTATAACACTCAATAGAACACATGTAAGTGCACAACACAGCTCGTCAATCAATGACAGGTGACGGAATTGAGAAAGTCCAGCGACTTTCACTCAGATATTAAAGACATTAAACATATACTAAGAACAAGGCTCGATATTAAGATTAAAAACAGAGGGAGGCGTTAGGACAGTAGGGACAAATTGAACAAACTGATCAACAACAGAGCACAGCCTTTTGCACTGAAACAAAATGATCACCAATGAGTATGCAAACAACCACTAAGGCGACTGACAATTAATTAATAGTGCAAGTATTCGGCACTATTCCTGACCAAATTTCCGCTAATTACACTGGGTTACTGTTCACTGAAGGGTTTTTTCCCCTTTGGCCGCATTTATGTTGAGATGTGTTCCCCTAAATTCTTTCTCACTTGGCTAACCAAGCACCTCCTTTCATTTCACTTTCTTCCTCAATCTAGGCCTGGATATATCATATAATTACTCAATCCTTATTACTTAATTTCCTTCTTATTAGTGTGCGCCCAACTGTACAATGAATTGGGCTGCTCAACAAATTGACATTTTAAGTAGATCTTAATATTCATTATGTAAGGGGTACATGACACCATTCTACAACTGTAACCTAAAATATAAATACATTACGTAAAGGGTAAAAAAGAAAAATTACTATATAACATTACGTATCATAATATCAATATATATTAAATAAAAACATGACATACGTTACGTAACACCATTATGCAACAGTTAGGTAACACATAAATATGTTACATAAAAGTTAAGGAACGAAATTTATCTATTATGTAACAATTGAACAAATGTGCTACGTAGATCTTCGTAGTGGCTTTGCACTTTATGTACCTCATTACGTATAAAATGTAAGATTTACGTAAAATTATTATGTAAGGCAAACACATGTTACATAAGTATTATAATAAACTTTACACTTTGTGTAATGTGATTTGGGAAACCTACTAAAGGTTGCAAAACAACAATTATTTCTTATGTAACAGTTGAACAAATGTGTTTGTAAAGCTCCATAGCGCCTTTTCACTTTACGTAACTCATTACGTCAAAATGCTATTGATCATGCAAGACTACGTAATGTCATTCTACACGTTGGACAAGAACCACAACCACAACAAAGCAGGCGCTAGATTACGATTCTCTGATTGTTAAAAGTATAAAAATGGGCAGTTTGAAAATAAATCAGTGTACCTGAATTACTCAATCTCCATAACTAGCTGCTTCAACACAGAGAAAGTCAGTTCCAAGCTTCAATTGCAAATAGCAAGTTTGCCCGTTACTTCATCTGCAACCCCATAGTCAAGACTTATCTCCCGCAAAGGAGGAATGTTCTCAGTTGCGAAAATCATAAGGTGGGGGAACATCAGATTATTATGATCATACAACACAAACTGCACCATTACATTTGGAGCTGTGCTGTGGCTCATGTAGCAAGCAACATTCCTCATTCTAGATACATCCATCGCAAAATCCAAAGGCGGGAGAGCAGGATATGTTGGAGGAACATAGTCAGGATAAATACGAGATAAATCTCCCCATTCTGCCCATCTACTTGAAAACCGACTTGGATAAATCAATGTATCACCACTCATAGCAAAAATCTCAGCTTGCTCTCTCGTGAGTACAACACCTGCATACTCACATACAAACGAACCTGCATGTATCAAATCCAATGACCTAACTCCCCAGCCTGTTTGCCTGGACCTGAACACTTCCATTCTATTTCTCAAGCCTCTCTGGCTTACACGATTGCGACAGCTGGGTGGGCATTTGCAAAAGGGTCCGCATTCAAATATCAAGGGTTTTCCCCTCACCAGAAATCCATGTTGGTCGTAAGCAAATTCACCACCATTCTTCATTGCACAAAAACAACCATCCACACAGCCCGAAACGCAATCACACCCAGTTCCACTACTTCCAGTGTTGCACAAGTGAGGGGGAAACAGAGCCTTTGGAAGGTAATCATGGTGCAACGGATCCCCAAAATTATCGATATCATTAAACACCATGACAGGGACAAGTTCTTTTCTATTCGAGATATCAAGATGTATATACCCAGTTGGCCTCACGCTCAATGGCTTAGCCCTCAAGCTCCCTGCAAATTTCAGAATTGCACTACCCATTTCCTTCTGTCCTTCTATCCTAGACAGCTTAAACTTATAGACACCAAATCCTGATTTTCCCACATCAAACCAGCAGTCGTGAATCTTGTATAAACCATCATAGACATAAATCTTGCTACTAATACTCCCTTCATATTTAAACCCCCTGATAACTCTTACCTCAATTCCATAATACATGCTACGCTCCATGGCTAAGTTCCCTCCTTCAAGCTTCTGATGAACACAATGCTTCCCAAACTTGTCCTGCCCTCCATGCCCAGTATAGGTTATCTCGTCTCCGGCGTCTTCATCATCTTCGTAGCCCCCAGAAACAATTATACTGGTGGCGATAGGCTGCCCATTTGAGCTCTGGCTCATAGGTAGGTAGTCAATTCCTGCTTGAGGTTGGCCATGGAGCCCAAGCACACACAATTCCATCCTGAAGAAGAAGACATCCCCAATCTCAATCCCAGGAATAGGACCCACGATTCGCTTATCACGATTGATCCAAAGCCCACGGTCCCTCATCACTGAGGCCGCCAGTAGATCCCCACGAGGCTTTCTGAAGACGGGACCCACAGCGCTGAGGCGCTTCTGTTCCTCTGCGACGGCGAATACGCGAAACGAGTCGAACAACAACCGAGTGCTGCGAACCATCTCCCTGAAGTACCGCTTATCCTCAATCTGAAGGTCCGTTACCCGAACGAGCTCCGAGGAGCGCTTCACGTACTTCCGCTGCGGCCGAGGCACCAGGATCGGGGAAACCTGATTCTCAGTGTCGACGGGCACAATCGCACCAGCGTTCGGGTCCAACGCCGTGACCTCATCGCCGTACTGCTGATGTTGCTGCTGCTCCAGGCGTTTAGCGAAAGCTGCCCGGAAGAGCTCCGAGATTCGGTGGTATTCGGAATAGACATTATCTTGTTCGGTGGAGACGACGGCGGACTGGGGGAGAGAGGTATTTTGGGGATCGGAATAAAAGTTAAGAGGGGCGGGGTCCTGGAAGTAATCGTCATCTGGTTCCTGGAGCGGCTGGGCTTCAATTGGGCTCTCGTCTAGCGGCTCGAGCTTGGGCTCGATTTTGGGAACCTTAAGGAAATTGGGAGTTGACGTTGTAGCACCGCCGGAGGCGCTGGTGTTGCCGTTCCCGTTACCGACGGCCGGAACCGGAGAGAGGTTGAGGTCTTGAAACGGGACGATCTCGCCCATTTCTTTACCGATGGGATTTTTTGTACAGAGGTAAAAAAAAAAAAAAAAATTCAGCAAGAGAAGGTAGGGACGGGGAGAAATGAAACGGGTTCGTCTTCGTCGGAGGCTGCTCCTCTTTCTTGTTTGCTAGCAGAGAAGAAACCAGAGAGATTATCTCACCATGGCGACAGGCCGACGAAACGGAGCTGGAGAAATGGGGAAGTGAGCTTTTTTCACAGAGATGAATGCGGACATAATTTCTTGCAAAAATCTACTTTATTTATTATTAATTATTATTTTGAAAACAAAGACATCACTTTGTATGCAATGACGAAACCAGCCTTGGGCCTCAGCTACCCAATCACCGTTGATTTGGTGACTTTAGGGTTGTTATATTTTGGGTAAACACAATTTAATATCAAAACCTTTCATTTTAAATAAAATAATAGCCAAATTTTTTCCAAAACAATATAATATTCAAATCATCAACTTTCCGTTCGTTTGACCATTAATTGACACTTCAAAAAAGTTCGAAGTACGACGCTTCATCAATATCCATCGATATCTTCTCTGAAAAACTACCAACATATCGTGGTTCCAAACCCGAGAAGTCCATGACTCCACCATGATGGTATAGAATATCTAAATATTCAGTCATTTGCAATGCCAAAACAAAAAAACAAAGTTGTATTGTGACAATTTCCCCTAAACAAAGCTTTTTTGAAGTGTCAACCAACGGTCAAACGGACGAAAAGTTGATGATTTGGATATTAGATTGTTTTCGAAAAGGTTTGGCTATTATATTATTTAAAATGAAAGGTTTGAATATTAAATTGTATTTACCCTTATATTTTCAACAGTGAAAAATAAAATTTGGAGTTCAAGATAATATAGAGTCAACTAAAGGGATCAATAATATTTTATTCACTTATTTTATTTATTATTATTGTGAATTTGTTGAATACTTGAATTAGTTTAGACATTTTATTTATTAAATGCTTGAATCGATTTGATTATACATGTAAATTATCGAGTGAATCGATCTAAACAACTGTAACAACAATTCCCAAGTTAGAATTTAGCTTGTAGATGTAGGTGTGATATGTATGAATAAGATATGAATTACAGTATTTGTAAACTCTTTAAGAAAAGTTTGTGCAACCATCACATAAACGTTTGATTCTTAGACATTTTTTTGTCATGCGAGGTGACGTGGGATAGGTTACGGTGATTACTATTTATAGTAACTAAGGGTAAATAGGGTATAACAAAAATTTTATTAATGATATTTTTTAATAAATTACATTTTAGGAAATTACATAAATATATTAAATACAATTTTTCTCTATCTTTCTCTCACTTCCACAATTTTTCAGCCAGATCTCTCTTCCTTCTTTTTCTCAATCTTTCCTTGATTTCATTCATCCAAACTAATACCGCTGCAACAACAAAACAATAAATCAATACCAATCCATTAAAAAATACTACCATTGTACAAAATATCAATACCATTCAAGAAATAAAAACACTACCATTTCAGAAAACATCAATACCATTGCAGATTTAATCACTACCAATGCGACAAAATCAATACCAATGCGACAAAAATAATACCAATGCGACAAAAACAATACAAATATGACCATAACACTACCACTACGGGAAAAAATGACTACCATTTAAAAAAAATCACTACGAAAAAAAATGACTATCATTTAAAAAAAACATACTAATCCTTAAAAGATTGTTGGAGGTCGGCACGACAACCCAAGGCATGGGTCGTTTTCAGGTTTGGAATGTGATTTGAATGAAGCATGGGTTGCGTTTTCGGGAAAGAGCTGAGCGGCAAGAGGCCGACCGGCGGTGGAGGTAGTCTTCCCTGGCTTCGTGATTTGGAAAAGGGACAAGAGCGAATTCCCTCTTCCCCCTCTCTCGAGATTTCTGCTCGACCCATCTGGATTTCTGTCTCATGCACCGTCTCAGCGGCGCCGCCCGCCCAGCTACGTGAACCTTCTCCCTCTCTGTGTGTTTGGTTTGGTTTGTCGCGGGATGGCGGAGGAGCGGGAGAGTCTCGCCGTCACAATCAGCAGCAGCAAGATGGTGCTGTGGAAAATCATATCGGAAATGGAGTCGGGAAGAAAGCTTTGCTGCTGCTAGTGTTAGCAAGCCGAAAGGCGAGAGGAGAATGTCGTCAGACAAAGCAAACCCTAAGCCATCGTCGGGGAGGGTGAGAGCTTGCGGCTACGGTGGGTTTGGCTGTAGAAGTAGGGTTAGGGTAGAATATATAGAATAATCAAGTGTGGTCCTTTTTTTTCTTCCAAAATTATCATCAAGCAATCTTAACCGTAAGATTAAAAAAAGAGGAAAGAGAAGAAAATAAATGGTGGATACTGATGTAGCCACGATGGCTACTAGAAATTCAATTTCCACCCTAACGCATTCCGAGGTGATAATAACATTTTAAAGATCCAAAGGGTTGTTTGGATTATAGATTTCATAAGATCATTTGATTCAATTCCATCAAAATTACTATAAACACCTTTGAAGAGTTAGTCTATGTATGCACAAATATTAATAGCACACATCTCGCTAACAAATCCAACTTGCTTTCACACATATGCACATTGTGTCTCATCATATCGCATTATATTTTCATTTTATTTCTTTCTTTTATCGTCATCTTTCTCTCTTTCACAATTTTTTCCTACTTTATCGACTATTATTAGTTACCTGTCTATCTTCTTTTATCTGTCAGGTCATATGCTTAAACCTAATCTTTATGAAGATTCTTAAATCAAATAGCCATAAGATCAATTTAATGAGATATATTGAAAATACACATAAAAGGGTAATTGAGGGAGAAGAAACATTTAAAAGCCAATTGAATAAAACAAAATTCCAAAAAATGGTAACAAAATTATTAACAAATAGTCTAAAAATATTCATAAATAAATAAGGTTGAGGTTCCGGTACCGGTACCGGTACAAAACCGACTCATATGTAGAGTTCCAAAATCTAATTTACTACAATTGACACATATTTTCAGGGAGAACGTAATGGACTTTTTCAATCTCCAACAATTTTCAATTGGCCATATCTCATTCATTTAAACTCAAATTTCAAGAAAAAAATTAGTTGAAAAATCATACTTGTTGTGCTCGACAAGATGAAATCCATTTTGATATTTTTTTGGCAGAAAAATCTCACGTCATATTACCATTTACCACTATCTTAATATAATAATATGATGATTTTATGCAATCTTACCATAATTGTGAGATGATATAATGAAGTCCTACCATTGTGAACTTATGTGTGTATGACGCTGGTGAGAAAGTGAAGTTTTATCATAGTGTAAAACTACAATATGATATCTTTTTTTTTATAAATGGATGCAATGCATCTCAGCCTTCATTCAAAACCAAACGGGGTTCAGAGAGCCCCTGACAATCGTACATAATGAATTTACATAAAGTAGGGTCAGAACACGGAATGGAGTGGTAACCAAGGGCCAACAGGTGCCCGCGACTAGCCAGGTGATCGGCACACTTATTTCCTTCTCTAAAGATGTGGGAAACAACAACTTCCCACTGATGAGTGAGCAGCTCTTTGAATCTCTGGATAATGGCTGCCTGCTGATGATCCGGCGAGTCCAAACTACTGAGGAGCTGAACCGCACAGAGAGAATCAAGCTCCACTCTGACACGTCTGAAACCTATGTCCCAAGCCAGCTGCAGCCCCTCTACAGCGCCTCTCAACTCAGCCCTGGTGATAGAGCAGCTCCCCAGGTTAATCGCATACGCTGCAAGGCAGCGTCCTGTGTGATCTCGAATCAGGCCACCCGCAGCAGCATGGCCTGAAGTAATGTGAACTGAGCCGTCGGAGTTGAGAGTGACCCACTCGGGAGGTGGCGGCTTCCAAGAGATCTCCACCTCCGTTCTCATGGGCAGACTAGGTTGCTGGATTAACCTGTCTTTGTCCAGGGCATTCCGCACGACATTTATCCATGCCCGGACGCGCTGTATGAAGGCTGCACTGGTCGTGATCTTGCCTGCGAAGACTCGATCATTCCTGGTCCGCCACAGGGACCAGCAGATGATGCCGAACTCAAGGCTAGTGGGTTCCTGTCGAACATGGTAAAGAATCCAATCCTGCAAGTGGGGTCTGAAAAATCGCTGGTGGTCAGAAGGCTGAATGAACTGCATCCAAGTTAACCTGGAAAACTCACAGTCTCGCAACACATGCAAGACTGTTTCGGTGGTCGCTTTGCACTGGGGACAGATGTTTGTGGTAGATAGATGTCTTCTTTGTCGTTCAACGTTGGTGAGGAGTCGCTCCCTTGCCGCAAGCCAGAGGAAATGAGTGACTCGAGCGGGCCCTCTCCACCTCCAAATTGAACGCCAGTCAATTGTGTTCCTCGCTTCACTTCCTTGATTGATCAGTTGGTATTCAGATTTGACCCGGAATCGGCCGTCCCGTTCCTGTCCCCAGATCGGGGAGTCCTCGCCGTACCCTTCTCTCGGCGGTTGAACCCCCAGCACCTGCAAAACAATTTCCTCAGGCAAAAGTGAGCGCAAAAGTTGAACGTTCCACTCACCATCATCTGCAAAGTGTGCCACGGGAAGAGCGGGGTCCAGCGGGGGGTTGTTGTCCAGGGCGTGGTCAATGAGCAGATCGCCCGAGTCCACCCATCTATCCGTCCAAAAACTCGTGCCCCTCCCGTCCCTGATGCTCATTCTCATGCCAAGCGTCATCGCCGGCCACGCCTTTTTGATGCCCCGCCAGAGGTTGGAGGCTCTCGCCATAGACTTTGCCTGCATCCCTTCGTTAACCTGCTTAAAATATTTCGCCTGCAACACTTTAACCCACAGCTCATCGGGTTTTTTAACAAAAAACCAAGCAAGCTTCGTTAGAAACGCAAGGTTTAATTCATGCGCTCTCCTGAGTCCCAGACCCCCCTCCTCTTTGGGTTTACAGATGCCCTCCCAATTAACCAAATGGACCTTCCGGGTTTCGGCTGTGGAACCCCAGATGAAGCGCCGGATCCTTTTGTCGATCTCATCACATATGGCGATAGGTAGCAGGGTCGTTTGCATTGCATAGGTGGGTAGCGAACTGAGCACCGATGTGGCCAAAGTAACGCGCCCCGCCAAGGATAACGATTTAGCCTTCCAACCTGCAAGTTTATTGTCCAGCCGATCTAAAATATATTGGTACATACCTTTAGTGATCCGCCCATGGAGAACCGGGACTCCCAAGTACCACCCCAGATCTTGTGTTGCAGGGATGCCGAGATGATGGGCAATGGCCGAGCTCGTCGGCCTCTTAGTGTTTCCCGAAAAAAACACTGCAGATTTCTCTTTGCTTACCTGCTGGCCCGAAGCCTGGCAAAACTGATCCAGGCAATCCATAATGACCTCACCCTGCGCAAGACTCGCTTCTGCAAACAGAATTAAGTCATCAGCAAAGAAAAGGTGAGAGAGAGGAGGACCACCTGGGTTTAGTCTGATCGGCTTCCATCTCCCCTCTTCCACAGCTTGCTCAATGATATGACTTAACCTCTCCATGCATAAAGTGAACAAGTATGGTGAGAGAGGGCAACCCTGTCTCAATCCTCTGGACGGGGAGAACGGCTCTGTACATTCCCCATTCCAAAGAACTTGGAGGGTCGAGGATGAGACACACTGCATAATCACTGCAACCAGCTTCTCCGGGAATCCCGCCTCCTTGATAGTATCTAGGAGGAAGTCCCAGCTGAGGCGGTCGTAAGCCTTAGCCAAGTCAATCTTCAGCACCATCTGGCCCTTTTTCCCCTTCTTTAACCCCATCGAGTGGATGACTTCCTGGACAATGATGATGTTCCCAGAGATATGCCTTCCCGGGATGAAGCTAGTTTGGGTAGGATGGACCAGATGTTCCATCCACGGTTTAATCCTGTTCACAATGCACTTAGCCAGCGATTTGTAAACTACATTGCATAGACCAATCGGGCGGAACAACTTGATCGAATCAGGGCTCTCTTTCTTTGGGATCAGGACTAGAAGTGTCTCGTTCACCTGGCGGATATTCTGAGGCTGTTCAAAGCATTCCATCACAAAGCTTGCGAAGGATTCCCGAACCATGCCCCAACACTTTTGGAAAAATATCGGGGGGTAGCCATCCTTTCCCGGCGCCTTGAGGCCCCTCATACTCCGCACGGCCCCCCAGATTTCCTCTACCGACAGCCTCCCCTCAAGTCTGCTCGCAGCTGCATCAGGAATCCGCTCGAAGCGTGCCCTCAGCGTTTGGTATTTCCCCGCGTCGGCCGAGAAAAGCCTTTTGTAGAACTCCCGGACATGGTTCTTGAGTGCCGAGTCATCTAGGATCCAGCTCCCCTCTTCATCCCGAAGGGCCACTATCCGGTTGAATTTCCTTCTCTTGACCGTTGCTAGGTGGTAGTAATGTGTATTCCGATCACCCTTAAAAATCCAAGTCTCCCTGGACTTTTGGAGCCACAAAAGCTGCTCCTGCCATAGAACCTCATTAAACTCAGCCCGTACCTGATCCTCCTCGACGAGAGAGTCTCTGCTACCTCCGCCATCATTTACTAGCTCAAGTCGCTGGAGTTTGCCTAGGAGCTTCTTCTTCCGTTTAAAGATGTGGCCGAACACCTCGCGATTCCATCCTTTCAAGTCCTCGGTCAAAGCGTCGAGCTTCTTCGGAAGCCCTTCCTTCTTCACCCATGCCTCCGCCAGTGCCCGTGGGAAGTCCTCATGGCCCATCCAAGCTGCCAAGAATCTGTAGGGGCGGGTCCCTTGTCTTCTCTGAGTAGATCCAGGGCATGCCATGATCGGTCTGTGATCCGAACCAAAACGCTTGAGATGCTTAGTTATAGTGTTCGGGAACTTGAGGAGCCATTGCTGGTTGCAGATGACCCGATCCAGTCTTTGGGAGAGATTCCCTCGGCGCCAAGTGAATCTTGGGCCTGTGAATCCCACTTCATGCAGCTGACACTCATTGATGCAGCGCCTAAATTGTTGAACCCGAGCCTCGCGGAAGCCCGCCCCTCCCATTCTGTCTGCAGGTCTCAAAATTGAGTTGAAATCTCCAATTAAAATCCACGGGATGCTAGCTTGGATGGCCAGCCTCTTGATTTCCAGCCAAAGCGATTGCATGTGTCCTTCATTGGGACTGCCATAGACTGTTGAGACTAAGACATCCTGTTCTCTGGTTCCCCGTTTGGAGCACTTTACATGAATCATCTGCTCCCATTCACAGAGGGAGGTAACCCTGAGATTAGCCTCGTTCCAAAGAACCCAAATGCCTCAAGCAAACCCCACCGCATCAACTACAATAACTCCATCGAACCCCGTCCGAGAGATGACAGATTGAGCTGTAGCTCCGCTAATCCGCGGCTCTACAATGATAACCATGTCTGGCTTGTTCACCTGACAAATAGACAAAAGTTGCGGAATGAAAAGGTCGTTACCTGCACCCTGACAGTTCCAAGATAAAATATCAATCATAGAAATAAAAGTCAAAACAGCAGAAACCAAAGGAAGAGACTTCCCTGATAGCGGCAGCCGCCGCGGGATAACAAGCTGGAGAAGCTTAGAGAGCGGGTGGGGGCCCGTTCTCGGTGAGGCCCTTGGCCCCTTTGTCCTTCAACTGCGTTTGGGCAGTAGGTTGACCTGGAGGTTGCCCAGCGCCGCCTTGGGTCAGGTCAGTTGTCCTTTCTTTGGCTTGCGCTGGCTGACCTGATGAGTTGGTAGCCTTGGCTTTTTGGTGTTTTTTCTGTCCCATCCGTCCGTGAACTTGCTGCTTGCCTTTTGATTTATTCAAAGCAGTCGCCCCCGAAGGCTGAGACTTGAGTGAGGCAGTGGGTTTCTTCGCGGCCTCAAAAAGCACCGGAACAGTCACAAGTGTAGTGGTGTCTTTGACCTGGTTATGCAAGGCTTGCATGGAGTTATTTTGCACGCCTGGGTTTGCATGGCTCGAAGAGGATTGGACAGTGGGCTGCACCTGATCCACTGGAAGAGTGTGTTGATGGTTGGGTTGCTCGAAAGGGGGTATTGCAGTCCCGTCCTCCGAATTGACTTGCACCTCCATCTCCGCTGTAGTCTAGGGATCGGAGGTTTCCGCCGGGATGGTTTCTCCGGCAAGTACCTGAAACCGTGAGCCCGACCCCGTACTTGCTTCCCCCACGCCCATGCTGGGGGGTTCCCCCATAGGTTGCGGCCTGTTCGCTTGAACGGGTGGTGTTTTCCTCTTTTGATTGCCTTTTCGAGATTTCGCCATCATCCATTCACCATAAATAGGCGCTGGCGAAGGGATTGACTGTTGCTGAGCAACTTCCTCCGCTGCAGGGGCCTTGAAAAGGGTCGAGCAATTTTTCTTGGAGTGCCCATAGCGTCCACACTCAGTGCAAATATTATGCAAACCTTCGAATTCAACATAATAGGTGATACCTTCAATCTTATATTGGGATAGGAGAGGCTTTGTCAAGTCAACCTCCACACTAACTCTAGCGAACCGTCCCCGATCTCCAGTCTGAGTTGCACGATCGACCCTTATAGGCCTCCCAATTTTGGATGCGATCCGTTCGACCGCTTCCCTGTTGATGAACTCTCTAGGTAAGTCCGGCAGTTTGGCCCAGACCATTGTCGAGGCCACCTCCGCCAGCTTGGGGTTGAAATTCCTTCTCCATGGTCGAATGGTGATGTAGTGCTCACCGATCATCCATGGTCCTCCAGCCGCAGCGCGTTCATAGTCCATTTGGCTAGTGAAACGGACTGCATAGAATCCATAGGAAAGGCTCGAGATTTGCAGGACCCCGCATTTTGCCCACAACGACTCCAGCCTTTTGGAAATCACCGGGAAAGGGAACGAACGCCCAAGGACCTTGACAATGAGAGCAGAACGCCATTCCCTTCGCCATCGTTGTTCCTCCATTGCCGTGAACGGGATCGTTGGGCAGCGAGGATCGTCGTCCTCCGGGACCTCATCATCCAGATCATCTTCTCTCATAGCTTCGGCCACATCCTCGGAGTCTGACTCTGCTACGTACCAGTTCTCTTGTAACAAAACTTCGGTGAACGAGCGACCTTGATCTGCACTCCAAGCCGTTTTTTGGTGGTGCTCAGCATCCTGAATTCCACGTCTCCCATAGGCTGGGTAGGACGCTCCGCCGTCATATTGGTATCGAAGAGCGGGTTGAGATTCATGGCCTTCGGCCGTTTCTTCGCTTGCTGTTCTTCCTTCTCGCCCTTCGCGTTCGGGGAGGAGGAGCTGGGCGGCGACCGGCGGCCGCCGTTAAGTGGGTCACCCTGGCCGGCGCCCGGGGGCTGACCCCCCGACGCAGGCGCATTCATTGTCGACGGAACCCTAGCAGAAGCTCGGAGACCAAAAACCCTAGCTCCGAGAAACGCGGAGCAAAATTGTATGTTAATTTTGTTACAATATGATATCAATTTCGATGTTTTTAGCAAAAAAGTTTAACGTCATCTTACTAGTTACCACTGTCATATAATGATATTATCACTATGTAATATCATGATATGGCAGTGGCACGATGGCGTTGTGCAGACTTGCTATAGTAGTAAGATAATGATATGACATTAGTGAGATTGTATTATGGAGTCCTACCATAGTGATATGATGTGAGTATGACGGTGGTGAGATAGTATCATTATAATGTCGTGATATAACAGTGTTATGATGGTATAACCATGAATTTAGTTAAGATAGGTCCTAAGTTAAAAAAAATTCATGTTTTACTATGACCCACAACGTGTTTTCTTATTAAGAGAAAGTATCTAAAATAAATACATCATCCAAACTAATAAATATATCACTCTCAATATATCCTACCAATAAATCGTTAATGATTTCACCACTCATATAATTCTGAATAGCGTGCTTCATGTAGTTTATTGCTGAAAATTATCTATTAAGAAAAGTAGCAACAAATCGTTAATGATTAACACTTGCAGTGGCGCTAGGTATAACAACAACACCAACTTCTGAATTTAATGCACTAATGGAAACACTCTTATAATTTTTCCTATAAACTTTAGCAATTGCATTTAATCCTGCAAAACCTCTCACCTATCTTTTTATAAAATATATAAGTATCGAATTTATTTCCGAGAAATGTCAAAGAGAAAACGACATTAGAAAAGAAAGAATACCACAACCCTCTTACAACCTTCAAAACAAAAGACTACAAAAAAACCAAGTGATGGTGGTTGGAGGAGACGAAGGATTTTGTTTTTCTGACATGGGTGGCAGCCGACGCCCGACTGGGTCTCCAAGTCCTTGAGTTTGCCTCCCAGTTCAGGGATTCATTCTCCCAATGTAGTAATCGAGCCTTCAACTTGATGGATGTCATTAGGGATGTCAGTTTGGATCGCCACCTGAAGAGTCTCTAAATGAGCCCCGAGAGACTCAATCCTCTCCTTGCATGTAGTTGGTTTAGGACCCATGGAATCATGCTCTAATACCAAATGTTGAAACTTGGTAATCAGAGGTGTGATTGTCTTCTTCTTATGGCGAGAACCTGCCAGTGTAGAACTATGATTTTTCTACCAAATAAATTTGTTGCCTTTTTATCCTTTTCAATCATCGTTATATAGAGAAGAAAGCTTACGAAATTGTGATCTGTTTCACAGAAGTTTGATACCTTGATCTCTACGATTTGGAGAATCAATTACTTGATCTCCCTACACCTACTCAATAAAGAAAAGATCCTCCCAGTAACAAGCCAAACAGAGGTAATCCATCCAGCACCCCTTTGTTGAACCAAGAATGTATTAAATTTGGTTTCGATCGATTTGACACTAAACCAGTTCAAATCGGACGACAACTTAACTTAAGCAAAGTATTTTATAATTAATCTCAAACAAAATCTCTGGCGGGGAATTATTATGTGAATTATCTCATAGTACCTAAAAACAATAGACATTTTTCCTTCCCCTCTTCCCAAAATAACAAGGAGGAAAATCATAAAATGAGAAAAGAAAAAATGAGTTTGGGAATTGACCAAGTCAGGAAGAGGAAGATGCATGCAGCAGGTGAATTGTGGAGTTTGTTCTAACAACAAAGAAACTACTCCCACCCAAATTTAGCTCCACAAAAGCTATTCATTCCTCCATCTTTCTATTTGCCTATGTTGCCTGCCTTGAACCAAATTTGGGAGGAGGGTACATTTGCTAATTTTCCTCCCCTTTCTCCATTTCTTGGCTTGGGGAGAGAAACCCCCAAGACCCAACAAAAGCAAACAGAAATTAGGACAAACAATCAGGAGGGGAAAAAAACGAAAGCAACCCAGCTTTGCCTTCCTCCCTCCTCCCAAAAAGAACCAAGAAACACAGAAATCAACTCCAAAATCCCTCTGGACCTCTGTATTTCAGCAACACAAGCCCTGCCCTGCCTCGACCCCTGCTGTTATCTGCGCTGAGGGGGGGTTGATGGTGGCGATTGACGGCAGCAGCTTGGCGAAATGGGAAGCGACACGACGGCGATGAGGAAAGTAATGGTGGTGGTCGACCCCAGCAGGGAGGCGGCCGGGGCTCTGCAGTATGCATTGTCCCACGTTGTCACCGAGAAAGACGAGCTAATCTTGGTCCACGTCGAGACCCAGAACTCGTGGAAGAGCACCTTCACCTTCTCCTTCCTCCGGAGGACTGGCATTTCGATCCCCGCCGTCAACAACAACAACATTAACAACGGCAACAATCAGTCCTCATCGGCAGCAGCGGGAGGGGAAGGGATGGCAGAGGGAGAGGTCGATTTCTTGGAAGCCATGAGGCAGCTGTGCGAAGCGGCCAGGCCACGGCTGAAGGTGACGGTGGAGAGGCTGCAGATGGGAGCCAAGGACAAGGCCAGCGTCATCCTCTTCAAGAGCACCGCCATGGGCGTCGACCATCTCATCATCGGCCAGAAGAAGAGCCTCTCCAGCGTCTTGTTAGGGTGAGTCATATGACTGAATGTAGCAAAATACTTTGCTTCACCAAGGATTCATTTTTTTTGCCGCCAAACCCCATATATGCAGTACTTAAACTCTTGTGTTCATCGGAATGAAACCAGGAACACGAAATACAAGAAGCCGGGAGGGCTAGGGCCGAAGTCACTGGACACGGCAGAGTATTTGATCGAGTACAGCAAGTGCAACTGCGTGGGAGTTCAGAAGAGGGGACAAACTGGAGGCTATCTTCTCAATACCAAGACCCAAAAGAACTTCTGGCTCCTCGCATAATATATATACACGAATCACAATGTATGTAATTTTTGAAGGCATTCAAATCATCAATTTCATGTTTGATAATTGAAGTTTTCTTAAACCCTAAAAATACTACTTTTTTTCTTCATTTCTCATTGAACTCAGTGAGGAAATATATTGTTCTGTTTTGCCCAAAAACAACAGAATCACACTCAATTACTTGGGATGATGACTCGGGAGAATCTGCATTTTTTAGTTGATTCTCACCCTTTGTTCAAAACCTTAACCAACAATCAATGAATCTATGGTTGTGCATGTAAATGTTCTGTTTTTTCTCATTCCTTTTCTTCCCCACTTCTTTTTTACCAAGTGAAAATGGGAGTTGTAAGTGTCTAACTGAGAAAGACGAAACAGAAATGGAACTCTAACTTAAATAATTGTTTTGTATTTACCTTGATCTCGTTTTCCTTGTTCCCAAAGGATTAGGCTAAATATGCATATTTCAAACTCGAGACAGGAGTGATCTAAATTATTCGACCATAAACTGAACATTTCCGGGTAAGGGTGTATCACTCAAAGATTAGAGCCCAGGAAAAAAAATAAAGATGAAGGAAGAAATTTGTACCCCTAGGAATTCTAAAGTTCATCGTGCATGCCTGCTTCAATAGACTTTGTCTTTGCATATCTGCACACGGAATGCCTTGGCATGAAAAGTTACAAGGAACGCTTCAGTTGCACTTGGTTTGACATGGAACAACATATTCAAAATCCAGGAAATAGCCACGGCTAACCACCACATGCAATCATAACAAAGAGGCTTTGAGTATAGGCGACATTGTGTAAGAAGTTCTTATATTAGCTGCAGATACATACAAAACAAAAGGAATAACAAGAACAAGCAAAGACCAAAAGAAGAAATAAAAAAACCTACCGCAAAGTCATAAGTGTGTTGGAACTTCTTTCCGCCTCCTGAAACAAGGAACAAGAAAGAAATTCAGATAGCAAGCTAGAGCTACCCCTACCACTATAATTTTTTCACACGAGATTGGAAGTAGGGTAAATGAAAAGGCAGTTAAACCTGAACCATAAGTTGTCGAGTGCGTCTAAGGATTTTTCCGTAATGCTTTCTGCTGCAGATGTCATCCCAGCCTTTTTCCTGGAAGAAATTAGTTATTATGTTAGTCATTGCCAATTTGGATGAACCAAAACATGAAAGAGAAATGAAAACTGCACCAGTCAATTGCCATCTTAGTGAGCTGTTGCATACTGAAGATTTCGCCCTGCGTGCTGTGGACCCTTCTCCACCTCCCAAAAGCAATTTTCTCTGTGAATGCAGAGAACCATGTCAAATCAGACCTCATCAATATGCTAGAATTTCACTAACATCAATAGTTATGAGGTAATGTGTGGGAATTCTAACTACCTCAGGCTGCGGAAGAAATCAATAAGAACCCCCATAATCAATGACTAATGTGATTTGTTGATGTGACTTGAATCGGACTATCAGCCGCTACGACTGGTAATCGGGGATCTCGCTGCCTGGTCAGCGAGTGGGGTCCAGGGGCAACGCCCCGGTGGGGGTGCGGGGGCAACGCCCCCGACCCACGGTGTATGGGCTCAATGTTATTTGGGTTCGGGTTCTGGGCCTGGTCTGTAACCGTTTCCTTTGCCATATTGGATTAGGTTTAGACCCACATGGAGAAGTACTATAAATACTTCTCATACTCCTCTGTAATCTGTAATATCCTTGATATAGTGAAACTGGCTCTCTCTCGCCCGTGGACGTAGCTAACACACATCGTGTTAGTGAACCACGTAAATCGTGTGTCGTGTTTTCGATTCTCGCTCTCGTATTCTTGCTTTGTCGATTCCTGCGATTTCCCGATCCGTAGCAGCGCGTTTATAACAAGTGGTATCAGAGCCGCGGCTGGAAATCAGGCTAGGGTTTTCGATTCAGAAGAATGACGTTGGTGAACATGAAGATTGAAAAGTTCACGGGGAAGAACAGCTTCGCTATATGGCAGATCAAGATGCAGGCTTTATTAAAATAGCAAGGGCTGTGGGGGCCGCTGTCTGCGAAACAGAAGAAGGCAGCGGTCGATGACGATGAGTGGAATACCCTGGAGGAGAAGGCCCACTCGACCATCATGCTATCGTTGTCTGATGACGTCATTATTGAAGTCGCTGCTGAGAAGACTGCCGCGGGCTTGTGGTTGAAACTAGAGAGTCTGTACATGACTAAGTCTCTAACCAACAAGCTGCATCTCAAGCAACGGTTGTTCAGTTTGAGGATGCAATAAGGTACGCCTTTGAGGGAACATCTCGAACAGCTTAACTCTATTTTGCTGGATTTGCGTAATATAGATGTTCAAGTTGATGACGAGGATGCTGCCCTAATCCTACTGGTTTCTCTACCGAGTTCATATGAGAATTTCGTTGATTCTTTTATTGCTGGTAAAGAAAGCGTGTCGTTGGAAGATGTCAGGTTTGCTCTTCATACTAGAGAGATCAGACATAAGGCGTCCGGATCTGGTACAGGTGGTGAGGCATCGGGTTTGGCTGTTACAGGTGGAAAGGGAAATAAGAAATCTGGTAAAGGAAATTCGAACAAGAATTCCAAGGGTCCCGGTCCACAGCCAGGTGATGCTTGTCACAACTGTAAGGAAGTGGGGCATTGGAAGTACAACTGTCCCAAGGGAAGAGGGCAACAGAAGAAACAAGGTTCAGTTGCCGTGGCAGAAGTGGACAACAGTTCTGAAGACGATCTCGCCTTGGCTGTAGATGAGAAGGCACATCGTGGGGATGTGTGGTTTCTGGATACTGCAGCCTCATACCATATGTCTCCGAACAGGGATTGCTTCACAACCTACGAGCAGATAGATGGTGGTAACGTGGTCATGGCAAATGGAGCTGTCTGCAAGGTTGTTGGAATCAGGTCCATAAAGGTTCGGACACATGATGGTTCGTTCTGTACCGTGAATGATGTCAGGCATGTTCCACGAATGACAAAGAACCTGATCTCCTTGAGTATACTCGACAGCAAGGGTTTCAGTTTCAAAGGAAAAGGTGGAGTTGTGTATGTCTGCAAAGGTTCAAGGAAGGTGCTGAAGGGCGTGAAGCGTGGGACCTTGTATGCATTACAAGGGTCTGTGTTGTCTGGTTCTGCTGCAGTTGCATCGTCTCAGGTTCATCAGGAAGATATGACCACTCTCTGGCACATGAGACTGGGGCATATGAGTGAACGGGGGATGCAAGTTCTGTCTAAGAGGGATCTTCTTTGCGGGCACAAGATGTAGAATTTGGAATTCTGCGAGCATTGTGTGTTTGGGAAGCTACATCGCAGCAAGTTTCCCAAGAAGGGTATCCACCGGACGAAGGGGATACTGGATTACCTCCACTCCGACTGTTGGGGTCCTTCACGAGTTGAATCCATTGGAGGCAGCAGGTATTTTCTGTCTATTATTGATGATTATTCGAGATTTACTTGGATTTTCATGATGAAGCAGAAAAGTGAGGCTTTCACGAAGTTCAAGCAGTGGAAGACATTGGTGGAGAATCAGACCGGTAAGAAGATCAAGAAGCTGCGAACGGACAATGGTCTAGAGTTCTGTAATTCTGAGTTCAACGAATTTTGCAAGGATGAAGGGATTGCCCGTCATCGGACTGTGAGAGATACACCCCAGCAGAATGGCGTTGCAGAAAGGATGAACCAGACATTGTTGGAGAGAGCACGGTGCATGCTCTCTAATGCTGGACTAGAGAGAAGATTATGGGCAGAAGCAGTGAACATGGCGTGCTTCCTGATCAACCGTGGACCTCACACAGGTATCGAGTTGAAGACTCCTTATGAGGTGTGGTATGGTAAGCCTGCTGATTACTCTTCACTGAAATTTTTTGGGTGTCCTGTTTATTATCATGTGGATGAGGGTAAACTAAACCCAAGGGCAAAGAAGGGTGTATTTGTGGGTTACGGAGATGGAGTTAAGGGATTTCGAGTCTGGTCACCTTCTGAGCATCGAGTTATACTCAGTAGAAGTGTGATATTTGATGAGAAGTCTATGTTTAACCCCATGTTGAAGGTTACTGTTGTTGAAGGTAGCAGGAATGTTGATAAGCAGGTGGAGCTGCAAACTCTCAATGAGAGTGAGTTTGAGCACCAAGGTGGAGAAGATCAACATGATGAGGATGTCTCTGCAGAGCCAGAAACTTCAGAGTCCAGTGCACGAGCTCAACAGTCTATTGCTTCCGGTAGACCGAAGAGAGCGACTACAGGAGTACCTCCACAGAGGTATGGCTTCGAGAACATGGTGGCATATTCATTTCAGGTTGCTGAAGAAGTGGATGCAGGAGAGCCACAATCCTATAGAGAAGCAGTTTCGGGTGGTGAAGCTGATCAGTGGCTTGCCGCAATGGGAGATGAGATGGAATCCCATGATAGGAATCAGACTTGGGAGCTAGTCAAACGACCACAGGGAAGGAAGATTGTTACAAACAAGTGAATCTACAAGAAGAAGGAAGGAATCACTCCTAAAGAGGGCATGAAATTTAAAGCTCGGGTGGTTGCACGAGGCTTCTCGCAGACGGAAGGAGTTGACTACAATGAGATTTTCTCACCATTGGTCAGACATACTTCGATCAGAGTGCTACTAGCAATAGTGGCACATTATGACTTGGAGCTCGAGCAGCTAGACGTGAAGACAGCTTTCCTACATGGAGAGTTTGAGGAAGAAATTTACATGACTAAGCCAGAAGGATTCGAGGTTCCGGGAAAAGAAGACTATGTTTGTAAGCTGAAGAAGTCCTTGTATGGACTTAAGCAATCTCCGAGGCAGTGGTACAAGAGATTTGACAGTTACATGCTTGAGCTGGGCTACAACAGAAGTCCATATGATTGTTGTGTGTATCACAACAAGGCAGAGGATGGTTCGATGATATATCTAGTTCTGTATGTGGATGATATGCTCATAGCTGCGAGGTCGAAGTTTGATATCCAGAAGTTAAAGGGGCTTCTCAGTGCTGAGTTTGAGATGAAGGATTTAGGAGCTGCTCAGAAGATCTTGGGTATGGAGATTTACAGGGACATGTCGAAGAAGAAGCTTTTCTTGTCACAGAAGAGCTACATCCAGAAGATACTGTCGAGGTTTGGCATGTCTTCAGCAAAGCCCTTAAATAATCCTAGTGCTTCAAATGTTCATCTATCCACAGCTTATGCACCGCAGTCGGAGGCTGAGAAGGAGTACATGTCGAGAGTCTCATATGCTAGTGCAGTAGGTAGCTTGATGTACGCTATGGTATGCACTAGACCTGATCTTGCACATGCTGTTAGTGTTGTCAGCAGGTTTATGATACAACCTGGGAAGGAGCATTGGCAGGCTGTGAAGAGGATCTTCCGGTACCTTAAGGGTACACCTGATGTGGGGATTAGCTTCGGAAGTGATACAGAGTGCTTGGTGTCTGGGTATTCTGACTCGGACTATGCTGGAGATGTTGACACGAGGAGATCGATGACCGGTTATGTATTCACTCTTGGGAGTTCTGTAGTGAGCTGGAAGGCAACTTTGCAGTTGGCGGTGACATTTTCTACTACTGAGGCAGAGTATATGGCATTGACAGAAGCTGCTAAGGAGGGAATATGGTTGAAGGGACTGGTTTGTGATCTTGGTCTACATCATGATCAGGCAGTGGTGTATTGCGACAGTTTGAGTGCAATATGCTTGGCCAAGGATCAAGTCCACCATGAGAGGACTAAGTACATCGATGTGAGGTATCATTTCTTGAGGACAGAGAAGAGGATTAAGGTGAAGAAAGTTGGCACCGCGGATAATCCTGCTGATATGTTCACGAAGCCGGTTCCACATGGCAAGTTCCAACACTGCTTGGACTTGCTGAATGTCTTGAGTGGGTGACTCCGCCCTGCGGGGCATTGATGGCGAGAGAGATAGAAGTAGCAGAGTACATCAGAGATTTCAGAGGAAGAGGATTCAAGTCAAGGTGGAGATTTGTTGATGTGACTTGAATCGGACTATCAGCCGCTACGACTTGTAATCGGGGGTCTCCTCTGTAATATGTAATCTCCTCGATATAGTGAAACTGGCTCTCTCTCGCCCGTGGACGTAGCTAACACACATCGTGTTAGTGAACCACGTAAATCGTGTGTCGTGTTTTCGATTCTCGCTTTGTCGATTCTTGCGATTTCCCGATCCGTAGCAGAGCGTTTATAACAGTGATCTCTCACTTCATAATTCTATGGGAAGAACCAAAACCACAGAGAAAATATTGGCACCTGTGAGACTGTTTCTTCCAGGATTCGAGCAGCGATTGCGCCGATTTAACTTGATCGTCGGCGGGCCAAGAGATCGAGCTTGAATTCAAGCGATTGGAGAGCATAGCTAAACCATCTTGCGCCAGGCCGTTCAATCTTGGAAGAGAATTCGTTTCCTGAGTGGACGGTCCTTCAACACTATCTCCGGATTTGTGA